CCCAAGCCAGCCTCCAACCATCATATCACTCACTGAACTTCTGAGATGGGGACACAGCACTCAGGGAACATAATTGCTCATGTGATACTTGCCCATGGTCAGCTTTTTCAATGGAAGGGACTGCAGCAGCCTTAGCTTTCTCCTGAAACCAATTATTTCCCAAGAAAAATGACAACTGTGGCTTTCACCTAAGAGTCACTTTCATGCATTATATTGCCAACAGAAATCACAACTGTCGATACAGTAAATCAAAGAAACAAGAAGTTTCCAGACATAACAAAGAGAACACACACGTCACAGCAGTGGCCATGTAAAAAGAAGTGTGAATGAAGGTCAAAGTAACTGAGTGTTAGCTGAGCGTTAACAGAGTTAATACTGCGTGATAAAACTTTTCAAATCACAGACCTTACCACAGTACCTGATTGCAAGAGCCTGTGTCATCTACATGCTCCCTGGAAACAGAGGATTGTCAGCATTACAGTTTGAGTTCAGGGTTCAGAGGGTGAGATCAGGGTTCCTAAGTGGGTTTACATCTTACTTTCCAAATGAATTTCTTCCCTGACTTTGTACATGGAAAGTTTCGCTCAGATGACAAGCATATTTTGTCATTAGACGTGAAACTTCTGGGTGAAACTGTTTCTCCCTTTGTATTTGTATAGTGCCTAGTGCACTGGAGACCCTATTTCTATCAACATCTGCAAAAGTCATTGTCACATTACATAAAAGCGGGTACTACAAGAATCTAGCCTTGAAGACTGACAGCATATGATGTCAAAGATAAAAGGGGGTGACCTGGGATCCCATGTTACATGAGGGTTTGGATTAAATAATCAAAATTGTTCTTCAGGTTTTGAAATCTATGGCTTTACAATGTCTGCACTATTTCTCTGTAAATGAAGATGGATTCAAAGACTTCAGGATTCTGATTTCTAGTTTACCATATATGAGAATTGACTCCTTTCTTCCTACATCAAAATGCTTTGTGCTGAATCAGCCCAAATTAAATTGTCAGTTGCTCTGTATCCCTGTAGCAACACAAGCACTAGTTTCAAATGGTTAAAAAATTCACCTTTAGTTTCTATTTTCTGCTTCCTGATCAGATAGCTGTTGGGGAAAGAAATCTGATCACAGTTGGCCAAGAAATAAAAGTAAAGGCTCCTGGGATGCTAACAACAAATTACATAATAATGGAAATAGGAATTCTTATTTATAGTTTTACTTACTGGAAAGTGCTAACTAAGTGGTAATTTCTTATATCTCACACAATAAGTAGGAGGGCTTTTAAAGCATTTCTATGTGGAAAGTTGCTATGTGAAGTACTTGTGTTTCCCCACAAAGAAAAGAACAGTGCTCTATATCATTACAGCAACTGCTACAGATATATTTAATGATGATTTCTGTGCATACAGGAATACACTGTTATTTAAAAAAATAGGTTCTTTTTCACTTTCACAAGGCAGTACAAGAAAAGCCTGTAGCTGGATAAGAACATTTCTGTAATGTTTGCAATTTATTCGAGAGTTGCTTGGGTTATAGTGACACCTTATGGCAGTTCTACAATATCTTACAGATCGTTTGAAAGTTAAGATCTTTTTACATCCTGTCACTGTCAGCAAGGATCTGCTTTGATGTTTTTAGAAATACCTTTTTTCTTTTTTTTTTTTACTCCAAAGACCATTCCATCTCTTCAAATCTGCGGTTTCCCTTTCACCCTTACTAGGAAAGTACATTTTAAAGGTGTTTTAGTGTTGTCTTCTCTCCATGTCTAACAGGTAATCTATGCCAGGCAGTACGTGTTAACATGCTATTCAAAAGTATCTGTGGTGATACCCAACTTGTGAGTACAGTGTCTTACTGGATTGATTCACCAAGTATAGCATGTAGCTCATTGTGTTTCTTTAATCCCAGATATGAACTCTTTAAAAGAAAACATCATGATAGGAGTCAATAAAAAAAATTCTGTCCTTTTAAATACTGTTGAAAATCAACCCTGTGGCATATGTAAGTACATGTCCAAACCAGCTACTCTATGAAGATCACAATTTGTAAATCCTGTCTCCCTGGGCCTCTCTCTTACATGGATTTTCTAGTGTTTAATAGGAGCTATCTCACTTTATAGCCCTTCCCTCAGCTGTAGTGCCAAGTAGTCACACTAATGAGCCAATTGCTTCTGTAAAACTTATGTGAATTCCTTACACTCCCATCAAACAAGCATTGAAAGTGGGCAATAGGTTCAAAGTTGCAAAGGGCTGAGAGGGAATGAGGAAGAAGGATGACTGAGCAGTCACATTCATCCTAAAAACAGAGCTAAGAATCCAAATATGCAACTTTTTTAATCTCATTGAACAAATTAACTGTTTAAAATTAGTATTTTAATTCCTGTCAACCTGTGTCAGTGACTAAATAGAATGTCATTTCTTACAACCTATAAATTAAAAATTTCAAGACCCACCTGTTTTTGCCAGACTTCAAAAGATATTCATCATTCTAAGGCAGCTGAAATCACTGGCTAAGCACCTAGCACCAGCTGCAGGGTTTTTGAAAAAGTAGTGAGGATATCAGTCCCTTTTCCACTTAAAATCACTGGTTTTTCAAAGTTAAGAAACTGAGTAACACCGGAGAAGCAAAATGTTCTCCTCCCTTACAGTGCATACAAAAGAACTGAAGAAGGATGCGATTCATCAGCTTCGCCACCTTGAAGGACATGGCGAACAGTAGTGCACAGTTCAGGACAGTACGTGTAACTACTAATACTTTTGTTCAAATAAATTTGTTTTAAAACACACAGGTTTCACAAAGTTCCTTTTTTATGAATCTAATCTTTATGCAGCTTTATATAATGAACGTTTTATCTACTTTCACCAGAAAATGTGTGCTACAGCAAAATGGGGGGGGAAATGAGCAACTTACTCAACTTTCTAATCACAGTCATTCAATCTAACAAAGTAGTCATTTCTAACAAAAATAAACACACAGAAATGAAACATTCCAGTTAGTGTTATCTCTAAATTAAAGTTGAGCTCAAGCAGCTGCCTGTCAGCAGTAGTTGTCAGGACCAGTTAAGCTCCCTCATGAGGCTGCAGCAGCCAGCACCTTCTGCACAGGAAACTTAGGAATTTGGGCAGAGCATATGGGGACTACCTCAAAGAAAACGGGTCCATGCCTATGGGCCTGGTGCTGGCTATTGTCATTTTGGCAGGTGGCAGTTTCCACTCTCCTCTCTTCTTCCCCTGAAATCTGCCTCTCTGCTCTGAATTATTACTCTGGAATCTGGATTTGGTAATCCTCTGGATCACTTATCTGGAGCTGCTTTTAACATTTTCCCTTGAGTCTCACGCTGCCTGTAGGACAGATAAGCAGAGGAAACATATGCCTACTCATCAGCCACCTCCATCCACCAGTCTGGCAGCTTGCCAGAGCTGCACCACCAAACAGTCATAAAGCTTCAGGTTATGCTCTTTTCTGTTGCCCTGATAGCAAAGTAATAGTCCCCAGGTGAAGAGCAAAAGTCACAAAGTACAGTCTTCAATTCAGCATTCTCTTAACAAACAAATTCTGCACTAGAAACAAAATTGTCAGAGCCCTTTGATTTTTGTTGCCCTTCTGTGATTTTACATAGACATGCTCTTGGGTTTGTGCATGGGTAGGAGTTTATTTCTGAATTTCTGGTTTATAAGTTTGGCACAACAAATTGAAATCCACCTTGTCATCCACAAAGCCAGTTTTCCATATACTGAGAAACTGCAATAGTCTCCAGTTGGTGATGTGAGTGCAGGACAAAAGTGTATTTATGTCTGGCAACAGGAAGAGAACATCAAATTAACCATTTCTCTTTGCATAACTCCTCACAAACAGCTCGTTTCCTACACCTCCTGAGCTGCCTTCCTCACAACTGCAAACTCAATAGGGTAACACAGCGCTACAAATATGGATATAAAAAGGATTAACCTAACGTTCTAGTGTATGACATACCTAAAGGAGGGACTAGAAATATTTAAGCGATGAAGCAGAGACAAGTAGTTGTCAATATCAAAATATTGCAGGCAAACAACAATCTATTGCTAAGATTTCCAGCTTTTCCTGTTTGAAGTCTTAGGTTATGAAAGAGTTTATGAAATTGTCAATTTTAAGCCACAAGAAACCAACCCAGAAAGTCTGGATTTCAGTACTTGAGACCTTCCAGCTTAAGAAACAGGTAACAGTTACGGATCCTACCAATGTTACAAAATGGAAGGGACAAAGAGAACATTACCACAGAAAAGGACATTCAAGTCAGATCAAGACCGATCCACTGAACAACCTAAGGCAGGCATTGTCCTGGCAGGGTGTCATCGAGTATGTGTCCACCTTACTGAAAGTTCACTCTTACTTTCTGCTACTATTGACTGAAAGCTGGCCTATAACAAGGCTGTACTCCTTTGATGGATACAGCTTGTGGGAAGAATGGGGATGCTGTCATCCTGGAGCCATCTGATGCTTTCTATTTCAACTTAATCCATCTTTTACTGTCTCCTCCATAACACCTCCAGCCAATGACGCTTCTGAGCGGATCATAGCTGTCTCGATCACTTTATACCAGACAAAAAGCTGAGAACTAGCTTCCTTCAGAGTGTTGGCAAACTCTAAGCCTGACAAAGCAGTGCATCTTGAAGACCAGGTTTAGAGAAAGGCCCAGTTGCTTGGTAAATGAGCAATGAAAATGCAAAGTGAGATCACTATATGGCATTGGAACCCCAGATTCTGACATGGGCTTAGTATGCTTTCAGTAAATGCTCGTTTTAGAGATGCCTAGTGCACGATTTTTCCCCAGGACTTTTATTCTTTGCATGAAGACAGTATGCAATCACATTCTAGAGATGTCTGGCGAGCATCCACTCTAAGAAATCTAATCAAACTTATGTGAGATAAAATGTATTTCAAACAAAATAGAGTGATAAAGTTTTCTACACGTCATTCTTAGTTAATTTAATTGAAATTTTGAATAAAAATACCTTCTGACATGAAAATATGAAAAGTTCATTTATTTCCATAGGCAACCTCAGAGTACAAAGTGATATGAATTTCTCGAAACTATCACTATACCTTTTACATATTTTAAAGTAGCTGATCTAAAAGTTGATACAAGAATAAATTTGGTTTCGAGGAGCTGTCCAATAAACCAGATATACACTAATGCCATGCTATGACAGTTGTATTTATGAATCACAGCTGACACTACAGTAACATCACTTTATAAATCTCATGAGAATTTTAATGTTTTACAATCAAAACATAAAACTACCACTAGTACAGAGACTGTACGATTAGACAAACAAGTGTTAAATATTTTGCACAAGGCCTGAGTTCACTATAATAACACATTCTGATTCACAACTTCATCTCAGAAATCTGTACAGCAAATAGAACTGTTGCAGAGGACTTAAAGACAATAAAACTTCAGGGACTCATTTGATCTGTTGACAGAAGTGCGAGGCCTGGAAGGCAAGAGGATTTGATGGGTAAGTCCAAGGTTTTACTGCCTTGTGTAATTTCCTTGTAAAGCAGTCAAAACCTAATAGAAAGTAAAGTACAAGGCAGGACCTCACTTCAAAAAATCAGCTAACCCATCTGAAATCCTCCAGACAGGTTTCCTCACAGCTATTTCAGAGTAAAAGTTCACAATTTGTATATAAAATGCAGCATATCTCTTAATAAAGAACGAAAAAAGTGTCACAAATACAACAGGGTTTTTTTTTTTCTGTTTTTCTCTCTCCCCATATTTCTTCCATTGGGAATGGCACAAATCAGTGATATTCCACCCACCCCAATAAAAAACTCTTAGTCAATAAACAAAGGTCACTCAAAGTCAAAAACTTCATCAGGAATGAGAGATTCAGTGTTCATAAACTTAAGTTTTAAAACTTGCCTTTTCTGCTCAAGCAATGTAGATATAGGTAGACTAAGCATGTAAATTTTTAACAGACAACAAAAGTATCATATATCCATCTTATCATTCTTAGCCTGTATGGAAGCCTTGTGGAATTTGATTAAAATCTAACTTCTCATTTAATCTTTTCTCTTTTGGTGCAATTGAACTGAAAAATCTAAAATCCTGTAATCTATATACACACACATACTTATCTATCTATAGCCACAGATAACATTACAACAGGGGTTATAATACAAAAGTTAAAACATTTTTCTTACTTCAAAAGGCCATTGGGGTATTTGTTGAAGTTCCACATAAATGTGAAACAGATGCTGTTAAAAAAGACAAAACTTAACAGGAAAATTTTAAATAATAAGGCTTGAAATGTTGTGCACCTATACATCAAAAAAAAAAAAAAAATCAGCTTTTACTTGGGGTACTCAACATTTGCGCAGATCTGTAAGGCCACAACTTCCCCACATTTCTAACTCACATCACCATTGAGAGAGGAAGACATAGTATCTTCATTAAAACAAACTAGAACATTCCACCCATGTTTTCTTTCCCCGTATCCCAAATAATTGATGGACTCCTTTATGATTCAAAAGACTCCTCTGATACTACTGTTCTGCGTTGCAGGTTCCAAAGGCTGTTCTGTGCCTTATTCCCAACGCTTGCATGATGAAAAGAAACAGAAAATCTGTTCCCTCCCCCATCCTTGAAATACCACTTTTGCCATTTTACTGTCAGTTTCAATCCTATTGAGTGAGGCAGACCTAGGGGATTCTAAGATAATCTTTAACTCAAGTTATTTCAAGATTCCTCCCCATCAGCCTAAACATCAGCCTCTTAATCCTTCCATCTAGAAGGATTAGTTTGTTTAAGACTGAGTTTTCAAAGGATACTTCAGAGATTTTCATACTTCAAACCAAAAGGAAGCAACAATTCTACTACAGAAAATGTTGTCTTGGAGCAGTCACATCCATTTAGCATGCACCAGAGCACCTAAAGCACAACTGATGTTTATATTTAAGATATGTAGCTATTTCCGCTTCCTTTCTCCCTTTCTAGTAAACATAATAAAGATAAATCAACTTAAGAATAGAATTTACTCCCTTCCCTTTACCTCTCCTTTACAAATGAATGTAAAACAAACCACTTGGGCTGGGCAGTTCAGCGCAGACCCTGCTCTCATTTCCACACTGCAATGAAGTATAGTGGGTACACACAGCGTTGGCTGTAAGATTATGATATAACCTGCCAGGCTTCCATATTTCTTCCTTTAAATTACATTTGATACTTGAATACAAAGAGATAATTTTTTGTGTTGTAGTACTGCTCAAAGCAATAAAAAGAACTTGCATCAGGTTACTTTTTCAGTAACAGAATTTGCAATTTCTTAATCAGATACCAGTTTCAAACCTGAGTTTTCCATTTTGTTTTGAATTAGGGCTAGGCAAGACCCTCTGTTTCAGGCCAATCCAGATGTAACACTGCTTTCCATCCAAGTTCAGAAACAGAAGGCCCCTGAAATGCTCACGTTTTGTAACATTGTCCCTTCATCTTCCTCTTTCCCAAACAATAAATTGGATGTGAAGTACAACCGCTGTTCTCCAAAAACTGTATTCGCTCTAGCCACCAGTCTTCCAGCCTCTTGCAGGGCCTCAGAATGACGTCTTCTAAGTGGAGAGATAACTGGACAAGGCTTCCTAAAGAAAAACTATTGTAGCAGGAGCCAGGTGGCACATGGTCTTGGTAACGTACCTCCTGTAAGTCCCCTTTCCATTAAGTTCAGTAGAAATAACCAGAGAACTTCACACATGCCCAGTTTCCTGACACACTAAGTAGGTTGCACCTACAAGGAAGTCGGATTCGACCCTCCCATTTTAACTGAAGTAATTTTCTCTTTTTTGTTTTCAAGTAACTGGAAAAATTTTGATAAAACTTTCCTAAGCACCCTTTTCAGTTTTTCTATTCTGGTCATTCTGAAAATTGCAGCAAACAAAAAATCAAAATCACGTTCTCAACTATAAATAGAACAAAAAAAAATCTTGTTACTTGAGCTAGATAAAGATCTTATTCCATCACATTACCACTGCATAGAAGACTCTCTCTTAATTTAAACTTGCAGGACTTTTTTTACTTCGTTCTTACAAACCAGTTTATATTCTCAGATAGCCCATGCCAAAAACACATACTTCAAACCCCACAGTTTAGGAGGCTTAGTATATAAGATCAAAACAAAATGTTTCAGTTAATTTTCCCTCCATTAGGTTAAATTAAAATCCAGTTCTGAAAAAAAACCCAGTCCAAGGGGATCAGTGACTGAAACCCCAGATCAGAACACTGACATTTAAGACTGCCTTTACTACGGATGTATTAATTTAATACATTGTAGAGTCCTAAGAGATGCTATTTTTAATATAAACTTATTTTACAAATAATTTAGAGGAATACAGATTCAAGTAATTCTTCAAAGGTTTGCCTTAAGTTACTCCAACAACTGTAGCTTTCAAAAGTTGACATAAAAGATGACATTAGTGTGACTACAGTATCTAGTACTAGTAACCATACATGAACTTAAATAGTATAACAGTTCTAGTATTGTACTTGAATTTACAGATATCTTAACATAACCTACAATGCTTACCATGAATATTAACATCACATAAGCATCACAATGTGTTGGGTATTGTTTTCTAAACCACAATTTCACTGGTCCCAGGTATTTTAAAATAATAGGACTAAGGCAGCAGTTATAACACATAAACAATTCTTTAAGAAATATGCTTAATGCTATTACTGCTTGTGGTAGAACTGTGGAAACATAACAAAATAAAAGTCACATTTACAGCATAAGGCCCTTTGGTTTCTTAAGCAGCAAATGAAAGACCAATCTCTTCAGTGAAAGGCTTTGAAAAATAAAGCATGTAGGCTTTCCATAAAAAAGGTAACTAGTTCTTTCCTTCTCAAAATAGCCAGCTATAGTCTTCAAAATATCATGTAAGAAAGCTCCTGAAATTCCTAGGAAAGAAAAAGTTAAAACCCAACAGTAGTATCTGATAGAGTAGAGATTCTATCATGGGCAAGCTGAACATATACTTTCTGGGAAGTAGAAGAAACTACTTTACGGATTTCTGGAGAGCTTTATTGAATTTGGAGTAATACAATAAAAAGGATCTGAAATAACCCCATATTTACCATATATTCTAGAGCTTACAAATCTGTATTTGAGAAATTGCTTCATATCAATCTATCCTACCTAAGAACTTGAGTTAAATTAAAATGAAAGTTCATTCTAGTCGAGCCAATTTATGGCAGTCTGCTTTTTCACACAACCATGTGCAACTTGTAAAAGGCTCTCCTTCTTCATCTTCCTAACGGAGCCAAAACCTATGAAGTAATAATTCCAAGGTATTTCTGTATAACTCAACACTCTTGTGTTTAGTTACACAGAAATGTTTAGTTACACAGTTGGGGTAGTCAACATGTGAATTTTACAGAGAACATTCTTTTTAGGAGGTAACTGCTCATATTCATTCTTTTCACACCAGTCAGAAGCAGTATCAAATTAATCAAAATAGTAGAATATATAATAAAAGTGATTAAGTCACCAATGCATTTTAAAATCCTGCTTAAGTGGTATATTGCTTAAGCTGTGGGGCTGGTAAGAAGAATCTGGCATTATAAAAGAGGTTGTAAACCAGCATGACTGTTGAAGCAGTGTTCTTACTCTGTCCCAAACTTGCCCAAAATTTTAAAGCAGCTTCTTATACCTCCTGAATCTTGCTGTAGTTTAATTCTAACAATCTTGCAAGAGAAGAAATTAAAATACTTTCTCTTCTTAGTCTTTCACAGTTACAGGTTAAAAGAGCCTTCTATGTAACATGGCTATCAAAATTTTGAGGCAGTGTAAGAATTTACTTTGTGCAAACTGTTATAGGGCAAAATGACAATTTGTGACACATTCAGGCAACACAAGTCATCAATAAGAATTTAGCAGACACTGAAAGGACTAGGCTGCAGGGCTCCATTCACCAGCATTATTATCCCTCTTAAACATTTCTGTGGAATTTAAGAGACAAAATTTTGTTGGTAATTTCACAGGAGTTGAGTACACTTCTGAATAATTTTGAAATACTGAACTTCTTTTTCGACTGAATATATGCATTCTACCTTCAGTGCTCTGATGTTCAATAAAGAAACAGAAATTCTTTAGCATGTCAGATGACTTTGCACTTACACAATTCTCTGCAGTACCAAGTGAATGCAAAATCAGTCTTCTTTCCAGTGCAGTCTTTCTTTTGCTGGGTTGAAAGTTTCCCCAAGTCATACTTTTACTAATTTAAAAAAAAGAGATGTTAATCAGCTTACCCATGATCCAATTTCATCAGTCTTTGAAAGAAGAAAACAATACATGCTACCCAAAAAGATCTTTTAAGTCATTGCTAGCTGAGCTGCTGTTTGTCATTGTGTTTGCTGCTTGTGCAAAGTTCTGAGGAGCAAAGAAAGGATTACCCTGTATACCAAAGCCAGGCTGTCCTAACATGTTCATCTGAGGTCCCAAGACTGAACTGCTCGCATTTGGGGAGCCTTGTGGGGGTACAAACTGATTAACCCACTGGCTTGACTTCTGTTGAGCCAACTGCTTCATGCTAACTTTGGGTTTTTGAGGACCAAAAAGATTATCTAAAGCAGACATATCTGGGGGCTTGTTTTGTTGTGTCAGTGGAGAGATTGCAGATGCAGCATTCATAGGACTGTAATTTGGCATATTCGCAGTTGGTACAATGTTCATCGTGGTTGTTCCTGTTGCACTTGGACTGAAGAAATTCTGAGCGGTGAGACCAGGTCCCATACTGAATCCAGCAGTCTGAAAACTCATATTAGTATTTAGTCCATTTGCTACATTTCTCTTTGTGTTGTCAACAGGTGATGAAAATCCCATTCCAACACCCATAGAAGGGACAGAAGAGAAGTTGTTTGAAGATGTAACTTTAGCTTTGTTGATTGAATGGCTAGTCAAAGATGACATATTATCTATCAAGGTATCTGTCAAGTCTTTTGTCTGCAAAATACATAAAATGCAGTTAAATGCTTTTCCTGGGCAAACACTTTTGCAACAGTCTTTATTATTGCTCCTGCAGAAGCAGCATTCATTTTTCAGAAATTAAAATTTACTGCATGGAACAGCACACAAAATGTAATTAGACACAAGAGCAATTAGATTGTATTTCTCCTTTTCTACTTGGAATTTATTGTTACACAGATTTGTCAACTAAGACTATATACAAAGTACTACTGTAACAATTTGCTTACACATCCCCAAGCCCTTTATATATTTAGTTAATAAACTCTTCAGAGCAAAAACCTTTTTTAATATGTGCTTTTTCCTTATGTAGAACAATGGCCTTCCAATAATAATGTCACCTTTGGAAACTCCTGCAATTTAAAAAGTATGAAATATTGCTAATGATGAAAATGGAAGACAGATGAGAATTTACTTTAGTTTTTCCTCAGCTGTGCCATTGTACTACCAACGAAAAAGGTGACTCATAGGAGAAAATAAATACACTTGAAAGGAGAAAGCATCACAACTCCAACAGAAACAGTGCAGTAGGTTGTTCTTTCTCACCTGCTTCACTGGAGGTGTTATTGCAGTTGTTTGTGGCTTAAGAGGTTGCTGGTTTTTCAGCTTTTGCGCCTGTTCTTGTTCTTTAGCTAGCTTTTGCTTCTCTTCCAGTGTAAGTGATGCCTTTAAAAGGGAAAGTACTGATACTAAGTTGCACAGAATGATTAGTCTTACATAGATGTTTATTTCATAAAAAGCACTGTCATCTCAATATGTGGTAGAACAATACATGTTATTTATAAAAAAGAGAAAAGTGCTAAGCACAAAATCTAGTATAATATTTACCATCCAGCTAAAAATTACTTAGAGGAAACGAATACACAATCAAAAGTAGCATAATGAGAAACTGGCAGAATTGGACAGATATCAAATAAGAAGGTATCACAACAAAACCATTTTAGCTTTTTCTTCTTAACATTAGGCATATGAAAAAAGTATTCTTCACAGTTTTTGGGGTTTATATGGTTATCAGCTGGCACTTGAATAGAACTGCAACCTACCACAGAGTTGGAAAGAGAATTTTATTTTAAGATTGTTCAAGAGGCATTTCAGGATTTGGACTCTACTTTTGTTAATGATGAAAGACAGAATCATAAAATAATTCCCCTGTAGTCTAAAGTTAGTTAAAGAGTTCAGACAACTAGAGATAGAAACAATATAATGCATAGATTCTGGGGAGCCATTTTCGTAATTAATAGCACAAAAAGGAGAAAGAAAACGATCAAAAATTTATCATCCTAATTGCTGCCTACTTTTTACAAAGCTATTTTCAAGGAAATGCTTTCTGAGAAATTCGAGAATATGATTTGAACATTTTGAACATTTGAACACTTGTTCATTCAGTGGATCTTCACACGTGACTATGTACAGTGCACAAAAGCAGTTAGTTTTTCTTTTAAAGCTTTTAATATGGTAAATATTTACACATACTCTCTTTATGCAAACCTATCAGCCTTGTATTAGACAGATGGATGTAACAGAATCCCAAACCAAAGTGAAACGCACCTTTTTCTGTTTTGATGACATCTCATTCTCTTTACTATCAGACCCACTAGTTAGAAGGTCAGTTCCGCTAGCATTAAATACTTTGTCAATCTGTTTAAATTCAAAGAAACAAAACTTAGTTACTTGAAATGCTGTAATTTAAGGAAACATAAATATTGACTATGTAATATTCAATTTTGAATTGCTATATATAAGTAATGCTGTAAAATATTGTTGCTTACCTGATTACTTGTAGTATTGGGTCTTGCCTCTTCAGACACACTCATTTGGCTAGCTATATCCAAGGATCTACATAGGGCAGAGTATACATATTAAGAAAAGATGATTTTTCAGTCACATCCACAACACTAATTCAGCAATGCAGACTATTCTTCTGCATTTAATTAATATGAACAAATTACATTATGAAAGCACTGCCATTTTTATAGATTGCCTGCAGGAAAACTGGGAAATAATCTAAATTGTAAAGGTTTCCCACTGATCATTTCACATAGTTTTAGTTCCTCCTTTTGAACAGGGTCACACAGACTTCAAGTAGCCCAAGTTAATTTGTCTCAGAAATCTCACCTTGTATCAGACTCCACAAAATAGCTCTAAATATCTTCAAATATCATAGCCTTCTAGTAGGCTACAATGTTTATGTTTCTCCAATACAGTTTTCTCAGCAGCTACAGAAAAGCAACTTAGCATACAGAATCAAGACATAAACTGTATTAGTGGAGTTCAGTACACTTTTAATTCACTTAATGAATGAAAAATTATTGCCTTAAAATAATGAACTGTGACTAAACAGAATAAAATTGAAGTTTTTTACTCCATAACATAAACTGCTAATATCGCAGTATTATCATTCTAGGACTAATAAATCTTCTGACAACTGTGCTTATTTGAGGTAGCTCTCAACTACTGGACTAAGAATTACCTATATTTTTATGTTGCTTTGGCTAAAGCTTTCTCACATTTGCTAAAAAATTAACAGAAATTTATCTCTGCTCACTTGTTCTTTCTCTAAAACAAACATAAACTAACACTTACTTTTGTTGCTCTTGCATGACATGAAGTTGCTCAAGTTTTGTTTTATGCTCTGTCTCCAATCTATTAAGCATATCCTTTATAACACAAATAAAAGAATTGAACTGGAAAAGAAATATACAAGAAGTTTGGATTTTGCAGTGATGGAATTCAGACACATACAACTTAAAAGGCAACACCTCATAAAACTTACAATACACAATGTTAGATAAAATGCACATGTCAAAATAATTTATAATCCACCTTCACTATCTTGCATTAGATACCCAACTACAAGCAGAGTGTATACTGGAACAGTGAAAAATACATGACACTAAGGGAAAAAAGGGGCAATGCAGACAAAAAACACAGATGAGTATTACCAGATTCATTAAAAAAAAACATTCCTATTAGGTATTCCATTTCTTATTATTACAAAGCAACATGACTGCAATCCCACATTATCTGCAACATTTACAAATAAAAGGGAACGCACATTAAGACTGTACTTTAGCTTTTAATTTGAATTGTCTTTACGTTAGCAGATAACTGCTTTTGCAGGATATTTGGAAGGTGACAGTATTCATCTTGCAATTTGATACCAGATCAGTTAAATCCACTGAAAAATAACAGGCTTTAAACATGTAAATACAGTAATAGTGGAAGGTTTTGTTTGTATGTTTGTTTTTACAACAGGTGGACATACCACAATGTATAGATTTATGGATTTTTCTCTGACAATAGTTTGAATTTATTCTCTGCCAATTATTAAGTAAAAGCATACAAACCATCATGTTCCTACCTGATTGAGATTAAGATTGTTCTCAATACTAAGAGGAATCAGATGGGGCAATACTTTTCCTGCAAGCTGTTCCTTTGTAATTCCCAACTTCTTATGCGTAAATGTACATTTGTAAATACCTAACAACATTAAAACAGCAAAAAATTGCTAAGTTTACTGAACAATGTGAGCAAACTCCAAGTAACACACTTGAATATGTATTGATATCTGAATGTACATTGGCTCTGTGTGCAAGCAGGGACAAACAAGTTGAAGAGCATCATAAAAGGAAGCTAAGTACTCATCCATAACAGAAATATGTTATAGCAAGAGCCTTTGCTAAAGTTCAGAACAAGAGGAGATCCAAAGCAATAATTTCCAGCTATGAAAACTGATAGAAGTCAATGCATTGTTATGGTCAATTGCCTGAGAATATGCATCTTTGAACAGATCAATATCAACTGAGTTAACCACAAACCAACAAACTGCCCCTGATAAATCAGCTGTGTTAACTAAGGATACGTTCTCTCTTGGCACAGTGAAATGGCTGGTTTTAACTATAATACTGTTCTCTGACTGCATTTTACAAAGACTCCTACCTAGAAGTTTGGGGCTGTGTTACACGCAGAATCAGAAATGATGCATCGTCATTATCTGTTCTAAAATCACTGAAAAAAGAACACTGAGAGGCATGAGGGATCCAGTGTTAAGCCTACAAGTTCTATGGCATTTCTGACAAGATTCCTTTGCTTAAATAGTCCACCTCTGCTGGCAAACACTGACCATACAATGATAAAAGAAGCAGCTTTCTGCACTTTCTATGGTTAGTGTTAGAACAAAACTGTCAGCTGGCCAAAGAAGATATCACATACAAGATGGAAGGTATTATAATTTCAGAAAAAAGGAGAGCCTGAGTATGTAAAACTGGTTACAGCCCATCATTTCCAAACTAGGGCTCACTTACGCACTGTATCCAAGTAGAATTCAGGAGTAATACAACTAAAGGAAAAGGCACACTGTCCCTCATTCTCAGGCAGCAAATACAAGTCAAAGCTGCAAGTATTGAGGGAGACAAGCAGCTTTAAATCAGTACAGAGAGATGCCTTCTTGTGCTTTTGAACCAAACAAAATAATGTTGCCATCACATATTACTAAAGCATTTAATGAGTTGCAGGTACAGTTCAACTGTTACAAATGGTCTTTTGTCTACTTCTTTGTTGTCAACAAGACAAATCGTTAATGTTTTTCAGACTTGGCTATGCAGTCCTAGTTCTATCTTGGCAGTGGCTCTGGTTATCTGGTCTCCTTGAGCCCATTCAAGATGTTAAAAATCACACATCCCTAGTTAGACAAGCACCTGAGTGGCACTAGGAAAGCACACTGGGAGTGAGGCCTTCTTTTCCATATAACAAGCCATTCTTGGTCTGTTTGCTCTTTTGTGAAACCTCACACAGACGATGCTCTCTTCCAATACAAAGGTATCCATGTTTGCTTAATGTCCAACAAAATGAGTTTAACTAAACTTGCAGTAAAGAGCAGTAGATTTGTAGACAACCATTTATAGCATCTGACATGCAGGAGTGGCAGGAGAAGGCAACAGTAATACCTTAAAAGCTCCAGCAAGATGCTCAGCATCTGAAAGAAGATGGATCATATACTCAACAGCCTCTCTAGCTGTGTGAACCATACAGTCCATGACAGTCTCACAGCTCAAGAACTGTAATGAGTACTCAGAACTGCATCCTGCCTTGAAGACTACAGGTACATGTACTAGTGTTCAGAAGTGCCAGCAGTACACAAGTAACTTAAGGGGGAGGGGAGGCATACTTAAAGAAACACAAACTGTAAGTTTTTAAGTCATTTTAGCAATACACTATGTAAACATTACCAATGATAATTCAGAAAGCTCTCAGATTTTCAACACCAAAGCACAAAAGAGGAGAAAGTTGAAAGTATTAATTACCCAAAATTCCCATTAGCACTGCTGGTTCCTTGGATGGAATTTGTTGTAGAAACGGTAAAATATCATCAAGCACAAACCATTTGTCCAAGTACTCCAAAATCTTACCTAAGCACACTAGTGAGTTTACTCGGACCTGTGAAGTATGACAAGAATTAAACAATTACTGTATTTTTGCCTAAGAAGAAAACACAACCTTACAAAACTCAGAAGAAAACAAGAGCTACTGAAACTGCAACCTGCGTATCCGAAAATCCAAGACAAGTTAAAAAGACCCTTTTTGCATCATGAAAGGATAACACACATAGTTACACACTGCTCACAACATTTTGTTTTTTCTGCAGGAATAACACTGTTAACATATATTATTGTGGAAGACACCAACATTTTTACAGTATCACTAACATAGTAAGTTGTTAAACACTTTAAAAAATTGTTAGAGTAAAAAAGCAAGTAAAAATTAAAGAGAAATCTCAAAAAGAAATCAGAGCACACTAATAGGCTTTTTTTGAAAGACATAACAAAAAGTCAAAGTAATTAAAGTTAACAACATTATCTGAGGACTGAGAGATAAAATTATTAGGATACTTACAGCAAGAGAAGAAGTTTGCAAACAGGCATTTTTAATTCTTGGAATTAATGAATTTTTCATTGATGGGTAATCTATTAAATTGGCAAATGTGGGAATTATGTTTAGACAAAGCTCCTACAAAAAAAAAAAACAAAAAAAAAACAAAAAAAACCAAACCATATAAGTTTAAAAAGAAACATGCATATTTATTATAAATCTAGAACTAATATTACTCAAGATCAAAATTAGTTTAAATTATCTCAGTAAGCTTTACTTTTAAACAAATATGAAAGGAAATATCACGTTCAGATAAACTGACCTTAATCTATCACTCATTTAAAAATAGCTAGCATAATAAAGCATCATGATGTGTAAACAGAACAAAAATGGAAAACAGACTTAAAAAAGAGGATAAGTTTAAAATAAAATATTTGGATAGAGGGAATATCTTGCATTTTCACATAACACCTTGACATAAAAAAACAACTTTTACATCACACTATAACATTTTCCTACATAAGTTAAGAAAGTCTGAATGAGAGACTACCAACAGCAGTGCAGCAGCACGACAGACCAAAAGACAAAATAGCATATCAAGATTGAACAAAAAAATATAATGCCAGATATTTAGAAACAAAACCCTTTCTCCGCAATATCGCAAAGGCTTTGCAAAGGTCAAAGTCACCTTTGATTATCCAAATCCTTCTTGAAGGAATATTTTATCTCTCCCTCCAACTCCTCAATGCCGCTGGGGAGCTGGAATTTAATTCCAGTATAAGAATGACTTTTTTTTTTTAAAAAAAGAACCTTATAAAGGGTTAGAAAGCATAAACAAACATTAAAATACAGATACATAATTTTTTTTCAGGAGGTATATTAATATGATTTTACAGCAAATCTTCCAAGGTAACTGTCAGCACACATGCTCTTACCACTAGGACCTCAGAATGAGCCACCTCTGGACTGGTAAGAGCATGCATGACTCCATAGTTTCTGCTTCATCAGAAATGCAGTATAAATGTGCATCCTACTTTTTGCTATGGTAGCTAGTAAGATAAGAGGATTAGAACAAGAGTGATGTGGTCATTCCCTGGAAAATAAGGGAACTGTATTTTATTTTAAGAAAACAAATTTTCTTTCAATACTCAGGAAAATATTACACAGCTTTATTTTTTTCTTTTTTTTTCAAGTAAACAAGCACATGTATACAAATTGTAGACAGAGCAGCTTAAAGAAAATATATAAAAAAAAATATTTTAAATAAGGGATGCAATTACTATACCTGAATCTGAATTGAAGGTGCTTCTAAGGCTCTATAAACCATTGGTAGAACACTGTTCTTTATTTCATCTGGTGGAGTTTTGGTTAGAAGCAAGTCCATTTTTTGCAGGAAAATCAACAAGATCTATAAAAAGAACACAATTTAGAATCCAGAAATTTTAAGTTCAGAAACACATACTTACAATTTAAAGTGTGATTATCATACCATAAACACTTCAAAAGTTTTCTCATAACTCAGTAAATGTGATCACTTACCATGTTGCTTGCCTGAAGGCATGGAAGACAAAAAGAACTTTGACATATTATTGTACTTTAAAAACAGCAAATACAAATGAAACAAAACATGCATGTTCTAGACTAATCCTTCTGAAGTAAGAAATCATAAACCTAAGGGAGGATTTCTTGCTTTTATGTACAACATGGTCTTTTAAAATACACCCACAGAATATCTTTATACACACACTGTTGTCGAAAACGCCAAACTTTCAAAAAAATGTGGGTCAAATGCTGTCCTCAAAGCATTTGATCACAACTCCACATATAAAAGCTCTATTCCCTCTGCATCTAGAATCAAAATAGGGACACAATGAAAAGAATATTACAGCTATTATATGGACACAAACAACCTTTATTCTATTTCACATGGAAATTGTGTATCATAAAATCCCCTCTCTCCCCCCATCACATCACATTAACCTAAAAATCAAAACCATGATAGCACTTTTACATACTGGGATTCACCTTGCTTAGGCTTAGCCATCTGAAAGTTAGTTGTTCAGTTACTTATTCAGGCTCACTCTCCAATGCAGAGAGCTATGTAACTCGTAAGATTCATGTCTCAGATAGGTGAGATAACTTGCTACAGGTGACATTGACTGTCCATTGATCATTAGACTCATTTCAGAAAACAGGTTAGACTAGATGGATGAACTGTGATGAATTCTATCGCAGGAATAATAAAAAGCCAAGTATTTCATAGGAGGAAAAGATTTCAGTTTTGAAGACTAAAAATATGTAGCAATCAGTGTTTGCATTTAATTGTTTTTGCAAATCTGAAAACTACATGAATGAACCCTGTTATTTAACAAGAAAAGCTCCTTTGAAATATGAACCGCATTTGAACATAACAGACTGTTTTTAGTTAAACATTGTACTAGTATGGTAATTTAGATTACACAGAAGCAGCTCAGCTGTTTTTCACTGGCTGTCAATGCTTTTGAACTCAGAGAACAATGCTGAGCAATTTTTGATTTCTTACTCGTCTTCAACTAGAATATACTCATGCTGTTCCAATGAGCCCCTTTCATTTTTAGCTGTCTAGGGTAGTATTTGATACTTTTTATCTACTTAAGTAGAAACTAAGATGTTACAGTCACACACCATCTAATAAGCACGCATCAGCAGTTGCACTCTTAACAATAATGCTAAAGATGTACTTCATTCATTCATACCAAGCCCAGTACTTGTCAATGTACACTTTGGTGTACTGAATTTAAATATGAATTTGCAGCAAAACATATGCAAACTGTCCATGGATTTCCCTAGCTATAAATCAAGGGTTTGCCTACACTGGGAAGCTATGTCAGAGTAAGTTAGGATGTTAATTTACAGTACACCTGTTAGTCTCCAAGAACATGGTATGAAGGAGCAGTTTAACTAAATATTCTATTTTCACATTATAAATTCCCCCACACAAAGTCATTGGGAACACTGGATAACAATTTCTTCAAACTGAATTACAGTAGCTTCCCTATGATACATGCACTTCCTAAGTACGCTATGAAAGCCAACCAATAGACCAGCCCTCATACAAATATAGAACATCTTGAGGGAGTGTTTGGAATAAACACTGGCACCTTCTCTGTCTATCCCTCTCCACGAGTTACAAACACACAGGAACAGAATATTTTTGCCTTGCAGTCAGACCTGGAATTCTGTCCTCTGGCATCCTGAGCCCTTACACTTTTTTTTCCTGAATACCTAGTATATTAACTTTCAAAACCTGTCCTTTGCCATACTGAAAAGACCATAAAGTTACAGTGAAATAAGTTATCTAGTACTTAGTCTGCATTAAAAATGTCAACAAAAGGATTTAATATATAGTATTTAGAAAGCTACAGAAAAACATCACAAAGCTTGCTCTTTATGAGCTGACCCCAAGTCTGTATATTTGTTCCCTCATTTCCCAAGAAATCAGCTCTTGCACCCATTATGCTCCAAATGCAAAACTTCTGAGACAAACATTTTGCAATGATCATTGTCTCACAAATCTGATGTTAAAAATAGAAAAACAGAATGTCACCTTTTAGTATGAAACAGCACAAATGTTCACTGGCTTTTGAATAGTTAGATGTTTCACTTTTCAATACAACAGCAAAGCTAACATGAAGCCTCATTGTACCAAAGTAAACATCACTAAGTAGTTCTAATTTTCTGAGGTATTCCCAATTACACAGTTCTCTCCTTTCCCCCCTCCCCAGTACAATGAATGTTCTCTGATCTGGTTTTCTGAAACCCAGAAACAAAAGATCAACTCGTTCATTCCTATGTTTATCTTGCCCTTTAGTGCTCTGCAGTGAATTAATAGCATCCAACAGTAAAACAAGGAGAGCTAGAAGGAATGCACAGCTGCCTTTTATCTGTGGAGGTACAATGTTTATTATCAATAAACAGTGCTCTTAAGAGAGTGTCAAAGGGTCAAAGCTGCACCTTATCCACTCCACCCAGTGACAGCAACGTGGATACAAAGCATAAAAAAAAAACCCCAAAAACAACAAATCATAAGTTCAGCTACTGTTAGAATATGTGCAAATATTGTACTGTACAACCCTGTTCGGATCAGCTAGGTAAGTTATAAAATGCTTACAAATATACCTTTGACAACCAACCAAAAATAAGAACTGACTGGTAAATTAGATTTTTCCTTTTTTGCTAATCTCATCTACAAATACAGATATACCCTCAGAAAACCCATATGAAGAAGCAGAGGCAGAAGCTTTGTGAATTTCCTGGAAAAAAAATCTACAAATAAAGACTGACTGCCTCAACAACTACAGAGCAGGCTGGCAAATCTGTGTGCAGCTGGAAAAGGGAAATAGAACAATTATTCATTTTTCAGGGAAAAAAAATTACAAAGAGAAAAACTGTAATCTGAACAATATTAACATACCTGGATTGGTTCTTGCTGCTTAAAAACAGGACCAAGATCAGGCAGAATGAGCCTGACATATTCTTCTTTGGTGCATTCCTCAGCAATAAGGAGAACGTTAGGCAAGACAAAAGGTACCATATCAGGATTCACAAATTCAGAAGTCAAGCAGGGCAAAATTCGCTGAACTATGACACGCTAAAAGAAAAAAAACAAAGCATGCATCACATTGTACTGCACTGCAGTTAAGTTACTATTGTGCCAGCTCAACAGCTTTTGTATTAATCTGATTCTTACAAAAAAGCAGACAATTCTCGATTTTGAACTCTTATTTTCACAGTATAGTCTAGCTAATTTACACTATGCTACTTTGCTTTTCTCTGCACTCAAAACATAACTGAAGGTTATAACTGTGAAGGTCAACAAAAAGCAATTAACTGTACAGAAAATAGCATTTTCAGCCACATATGTGAATTACGAAAACCTTATTCTATCTGCTTTCTTTAAAAAGACGTTATCACCCCACAAAAAAAAAATAATCAGTTCTTCAATAACCCATTACTCATCAAAAAAAACCAGATAACCCTACTATACCTCCCTATAAAACTCCAGATACATTCCCTAAATGGGATTCTGCTGATGAAGTATGTATTTACACTGCAGATGTCTACTGTAGACATCCTTATATGCTTTTGAAGTCATTAAAGAGAAATACACAATTCAAAGGCACAGTTCATTTCCTCATAAAATATACTTTTTAATACAGAGGGGAAAAAAAAAGATTATTAGGCCAGTCAATGGCTGTCTTAAGCTAGGTGAAATACATACCATCTATTTTCAAATTCAGAGTATCAATGATTTTTGATCAAAGGAAAAAAATAACTAAAAAGAACAGAGTTATGAAACATGAAATCTGAATTTTGCACTGTGTTGTTCAAAACAGAATTAAAAATAAAGAAATTTAATGCAATGGTTGAGAAGCTAAACTGTTATGTATTAAACTACATACGTATCCAGCTACATTTTCTACCACATACGCAGTATGACTTACGTTAACTAAGTAACACAAAAGGAAAACGAGTCAGTCTAGACATAGCGTCTAACACTACACAGGAGAAATCTGTAATGACAGACATTTGCCTTTGAGGTTTCTGGGCACTGCTAGCAGAAGAAAGCACTTAGTCTGTTGAGGGAAGGAAGTTTTGCGTCATTCAGCATTGAAACACTGCCTTGCTATGAAAAAACTTGAAGCAGCCTTCCTGGGAGAAAAGGTGGCAACACGACTTCAAAGAGCTATGATAGCATCTGGAAGCAAAGGGAAAGCCCTGAAAGTGAAGACAACTCCCAAAGCGGGATGAACTACACTAGGACACGGCTCCTTATACATACTGATAGCACAACTTGCCACTTTCCATTTAAAGAATTGATAGCTGAGGAGTATTTCTATGCCAATTATTTGCTAATCTCTCCTCCTTTCCTACTACTCTATTCTGACAGTCTCATGGCAGTCTTTTAGGTAGGATGCTACATAAAGTCCAAATTCCAAGATCTGGTATGTTAATAGACGTTCACATGTTTTTAAACTCACTATTTCAAGACGTCATACAGACATACCTTAGGTAGTTTTGGTAGAACCTTTGGTAGCCCTTTAAAAAACTGTGATTTCTGAAGGTTATCCCTTTGAAATAATGAATCAAAATACTGAAGCGTCATTGCTCCTACATCATCGAAGAATGGTATCTAAAAATAAGATTAAAAAGCTTGTGATCTGAAGAGAGACAACACTGACACTGTAACAAAGATTCCAAAAGACAATAATTTACTTTTCAATGCACTACAGTAAAACTTTACAATGATGTGCCTGCAACAATTAGAAAGCCATTTTTCATACTGTGTAGTATAATACTCTGAGATAAAGGCTGATTAATAAGATGGAATTTTCCTAGCATTTTAGAGAAATCCATGCACATTTTGTGTCTCTAATTTAATTTTTTGTCCATGAAATAGTGATCTAAAAAAAAAAAAAAAAAAAGTAAAAACCTTAAATTAAAATTACCTACTAGGTCATTCAGATCTGGCTACCACCCCTGGAAAATAGAATGTATCAACAAGCATTTATATGCAATAAATGTCAGTTACAGAAATTTCTCTCCAATGTTCAGACCCACTTGTAAATACTGTCCACTATAATTTCATAGACAATCTCCCCTGTTTGCATTACTTCAGCAAAGAGGGCACAGGCCTTGTTAACTATTGTGTAACAATATTGCATGGGTAAAATTCCTTCTTCCTGCTACCTCTGTTTTAGGGATGGAGGTATCAAACTTCGTGGGCTCGCAATACTTAAAGACAAAGCATGGTTTCTCAGGCTATTTAAATACTTTATTTTCCATTGAAAAGTTTGTGCAGAAAGAAAAGATATAAAAACATTTAAAGAACCTCTGGTGTAAGGCAGAAAGATAAGCCAGTAAGAACAATAAAGAAAAAAAGAGAATCAGAAAATCAGACTGGAGTAGGGCAATACAGATTAAAAGAATCTGTCAGCAGAGAATTCAAGGTAGTCTGTAGTATGAACTTAAATTCTGTTTTCTAGATCACACACCAAAACATGTGTGATCATGGAATTCTACACAGGTTAACACAAAATAGTTAAAACTAGCAAGGTAAACTTGCCTGTGTCAAGCTCCATTTTCATTCATCTCATGCTAGCCATAAGAAACTGCTTTTGGAACTAAATTTCCAGTACCTTTACCCTACACTTCAGCCTGCAGCACAACGTGGTAAAAAAGATTTCAACATCTTCATAAAACCATATTGCTCAATACAACCATTTACAGATTTATTAATTGCAGTCCTTCAGACGAGTTGATACCTGCGTAATATTTGCCAATTTCCTCACCTCCCATCTTTCAGCATGTATGTTTGCAGAACTATTACTTGTTCCCCTCCCTTCTTCACTCACTATTTCTTCCAACTGCTAAGACACTGATTTTATATGACAGGAAAAGAAGAAAATTGTTTAGCTAAGCAAATCTATAAACAGGAACCAGAAAGGGTATCAGATATGAGAAAAAAGGGGATAAGACAAAGGAAGAACAGTGCTTTTACATTCTACTTTCAGACAGGAAAGTGGAGAAAGAGTTTGTCAATTAAAATTTCAATTACCCTACTTGAAATTAATTCTTGCTTTATTATGGCAAGTAACTCCAAATACATTTTAAGCTATTCCTCTGCATATTTCAGAATATGCCAAAAATCATTAAGCCAAAATTTAATCCTTAAATTTACTGCCCTTTATCATTTTATGGCTTTAAAATCCTTCCAGTACAGTTTTAAAGACTGAATTGTATGTAAAAAAAATTCAATATTGGAAAGCAACAAAACAGTGTTGCATTCTCAATTCTGTCTCAGCACCCACTTCTTCCATATTAATAAAGGTCAGCATAAGGACAATTTTGGCATCAACTAACATCATTATTTCCAAAACAGTTTAAAAATATGTAACATTTCAACTAAAATTATTAACAGGAAAACACTTTGAAATTGTTCTATTGTTTCTACAAATCGAACACTCTTTTTCCTCTTTCCTATGGCTACTGTATTTTCCATGAACTGACCTTAGTCATTTGATCTGCGTCTGGTCTGACTGCTGGAGCTACATTTAAGAGTAGCTTTACATGTTCACGTACCTCCTCTGGTATATTCTGAAGAGTACTGGAACTTAAACGGCTCAGCTGTGTAAGTAATTTAAGCACATGGACCATGACATTAGAAAATCCTGCATGTAACTATTTCCAATATACAACAGTACTCTACTTTGTCCTCTTGATGTTTCTCTACTCACACTTTTGATATGCCTCCTTTCCCTCCTTTTCTAACCCATTTGCTTCTCATCCCTTCATGGTGTTCTTTCTGTCTCCCAACAGCCTACCTACTTCAGGTCACGTTCCCCTATTTCCAACTTTTCATTGTGTTCAGGTTATCAGAGAACACAAACCCAGTATTTTTAAACAGGTACATGTCATTATTTGAGGTGTTGTCTACACACGTTAAAACACAGTATACACAACCAAGACAACGGGCTCCCAAAGAAATTATGGCAAAAGAAACTTGCATGTGAACATACTACATTAGCTGATCCAAGTAACTGTCTTCTATTAACATTCATAGTCCACAAAGAATGTGAAAGAACAGATAGCTAAGTGGATACCAATTGCAATGTCAAGTAATCAAATCGCTCTAAACTCAGCCATCTTCAGCAGTCCTATACAGGTCATTTACTGCCTTGTCTTTCACACACCTTCACAACAGGCAAAGTACTTACTTCAGAAGACCAGCATTCAACAGCTTTACAGAGAAATCAGGTGAAAAATGAAACTTGTAGTTTATAAAATTGGTAAATGTAACCTTCTCTACATATATTTTTATTTCCTACATTTTGCTAGCATTCCTCTTTCTTGTTACACAGATAGCATGCACAGTAGGATACATTATCGGATTTTTTATGTTGGAGCACAGGTATTGTATTCTAAATATTTAAACCTATTTTAAACCAATAACTTTTTAAATACGAAAATCAACAAATAATAGTCACAAATAGAACAAATACCTGATCCAGCTGTCTACTAAAGCTTTTATAAATATCCTGCTTGTTGACCTCAAAAATTGGTTTCCCTTTATTGAATACTGCATAAATAACAGCTCCTAGAGAGTACATATCACTGGCTGTCTCACAGCTCACAGACAGAATATATTCTGGTGCCAGATATTCGGGATTTGGAAGACACAAGGAAGGCAAGTTTGGATCCCATTCCTTACAAGGGAACTTTGGCTACAAGAGAAGTAAAAGAAAGTACATTCATTAGGGATTTTTTAAAGAAGATTTTAAATAAGAAACTCATGCAGCAACAAAAAAATTAATGCACTCAAATTCAATTATGAACGTAAGGCAACAGTTAAGAATCTGTGTCTAGCTTAGAGTGATTAGCTGGTGCAGTTAAGTCTGAATATTAGAGCTGGGAAGTGTAATGTAAAAATCAAAGCACTGCTGTAAGTGAGAAACATGTATCACAATGGGAATTCATTTTAGGAGGTAGCAACCAGGCATTGAAGTGGATGCAAGAGACTAGACTAGGTAGCTTTGCACACCATCCAACATGCAGGTGAGCAGAAGTGGCACAGGCTTCAGCCTCTGTCTGAAACCGTCATTATTTTGACTCCACTGAGCCAACTCAGGCTCTTTTTTTCTCTGATGACCAAAGGCAGCACTTCAATCCAGACCTGTGCCATATGTTCAAACTTCCTGCCAACAAAATACAGAAGTGGATGTTAAATAAATAATTTACTACTGAAATGCAAGGTCATGTCGGTTTCAGACAAAGCTCTGAATTTGAAATCTAATGATGGTAATTGTAAAGATCTATTACCTCCTGCTCAGATGGATTTGTTGACTGGATACAAAAATCAAAGCCCATAATTTTCCATGCTCCACTCTTATTCAAAATTATATTTTCAGGAGTTATATTTCCATGGACCATTTTCACACTGCTATGCAAAAATGACAAGCCTTCAGAAACCTGTTAATAAAAGATTATTATTTCAGGTCAAGTATTTCCCCAAATATCCTGCAAGACATTTACAAAAATTCTATTCCTGTGTTCATGGTTTAATTGGTAAGTTAACTAAGAAACTATTCTTCACTATTACTTTAGGGTATGCCTTAAAAGTTATGTAGGAGTGAAATTAAACACAGATGAGTAATCAGCCGATGGGATTACTAATGCTGATTAACCATAACAGCATAAGAACAGCAATGCTTTTCAAAGTTGATCAACATATTCAATAAATAAAACCTAGGAGCTACTACTGTTACTCAAAAGAAGGTAAAGAAAAGATTTACATATGGGAGAGACACCTGTAGCATACACATATATTTCACATATATGGAAAATAAAAATTAATTTGATTTTGTATTTTCCATATTGGAATAAGCAAAACCAGTAGCAACTTAAGAGAGCCTCCCGCATTCATCCTCTTTTATACCTACAGTGATCAGGGCACCATCATCTCTCACTTCCTGATTTGATTTACTATAGGCAGACAAAACTTTGGCAGATTACAAATTTCATAAAACAATCATGAATACCAAAAGTCCAAGACAATTATAAGGACAACCTGTGTCCTACCTGAAGCAAACCGTATTTGGTCTCCACATCATAAAGCTTGTATTCTTTAATGTCAGATGGTAAAGGAGAAGGTAGGTTGTCCCAGCTGCCAAGAACATTAGCTAAACTTGCACAGACTGGTTCTGTACAAAATGCCAAGCAATCCCTGTAGAGGATATGCACAGAAACATTTCTTGCAAATAAATGTAATATATCTCTTTACTGTGAACAAAGAACCGCACAAACATCCAGTTATACTTTACTTTTTAGGTGTTATCTGAAACCATGTTTTATTTCAGATTTTGAATTCTTATAAGTGATTTATACTAAAGAGAAATATATAAATATCTGAAGTATTAAAAAAAATACTAGTTATTTTATTCTCCAGCATTCACATATATCACTAATGATGCACACAATGCTTCATTAAAAAAATTACAAAACAATGCTTTTCTTGTCCTGATCCAGGAAAATTAAACAATTCTTAGTAAGAATTCAGCAAGGCAGAGGAGGAAGATCTGAACTCAGGAAAACAGAAGCTGGTGGTGAGCGAGCCGGCAAGCACAGGAGCTACACCAGCATCATTTGAGATGACCGCATCTGGAATATTGTGTCCAGTTCTGGGCCCCTCAGTTTAAGAAGGACAGGGACCTGCTGGAGAGAGTCCAGCACAGGGCAACTAAGATGATTAAGAGAGTGGAGCATCTCCCTTATGAGGAAAGACTGAGGGAGCTAGGTCTCTATAGTTTGGAGGAGATTGAGGGGTGACCTTATTAGTGTATATAAATATATAAAGGGGGAGTGTCACGAGGATGGAGCCAGGCTCTTCTCAGTGGCAAACAATGATAGGACAAGGGGAAATGGGTACAAACTGGAACACAAGAGGTTCCACTTAAACTTGAGAAGAAACTTCTTCTCAGTGAGGGTGACGGAACACTGGAACAGGCTGCCCAGGGAGGTTGTGGAGTCTCCTTCTCTGGAGACATTCAAAACCCACCTGGACACGTTCCTGTGTAACCTTATCTAGGTGTTCCTGCTCCGGCAGGGGGATTGGACTAGATGATCTTTTGAGGTCCCTTCCAATCTCTAACATACTGTGATACTGTGATACTGTGATACTGTGAGAGTTCTGAAGGTTTTGGATGGCCTTTGGGTACCCTTGGGACCTGCCTACTGATTGTGATGGGGATCAGCATGTTGGCACACATAGAGAGTGTGTTTTACCCACAACCATTTTGTCTGATCCCAAGAGTTAAGCAGAGTCCAGTTTGGGTCTTGTCTAGGATTAGAAGACTATGTAAGAGGCCCAAGAAGTTTTCCCCAAGGCTGGACAGTCATGAGTGGCAGGGTGTGTGGGATAGTATGAGCCAGTATCTAGTCCACTGGGCCCCTCCAGTGCTTTGGAAGCATCAGAGATAGAAGGCAGCTGTATGGAGTCCCAGATTACAATTTGCAGAAACTGCTGAAGGGGAGGGTGAATTATTTTGAGCCTGGTGGGCCCATGACATTTCAGGCCATCAGGGCGGAGATTCAACATACAGATGGGCTCATGATTGAGGGGTGGACTTAGCAATGGACACTATTGCCCAGGTTATTCACTAGTGTAAACACTGCACACAGCCTCTCCTGCTCTGAAAGACTGTTACAAGAGATGGAACCTGACATCACGGACTGAATGGACTTGGCAGGTTTATAGGGATTGCGTTATGGAATGATCTCTCTCTCTGTATGTGTGGATGTATATATATGTATATATATAAGTGATGGTATCCTGAAAATGTGGGATCTGAGCACGACATGAATGGTATGGAATAAGGGGTGGATACTGTCCTGGGTTTAGCAGTAGCAGTCATTTTTTCTCCTTCTCAGTAGCTGGTGCACTGCTGTGTTTTTGACTTTCAGCCTGGGAACAGCACTGATAACACTGATGTTTTTAGTTATGTTTAATCTGACCAAGGACTTTCTGAGCCTCATGCTCTGCCAGGGAGGAGGGGAAGCTGGAAGGAAGCAGAGACAGGACACCTGACCCAAACTAGCCAAAGGGGTATTCCATACCACAGAACGTCATGCCCAGGATGTAACTGAGAGTTAGCCAGAAGGGCTGAAGGACTGTGGGGCTGGACTAGGTGTCAGTTGGTGCTTGGTTGGGGCAAGTTACCGGTCAGGGGGTGGTGAGGTGTTGTATTCTCTTCCCTTGTTTTTTCCTTTATCATTACTATTATTGTTGGTAGGAGCAGTGGTTTGGGTTATACCTTAGTTACTAAACAGTTCTTATTTCAACCCATGGGAGTTGCACTCTTTTCAATTCTCCTCTCCGTCCCTCCGGGAGTAGGGGGAGGGAAAGAAGGGGGGGGAGTGAGAGAGTGACTGCGTGATCTATGGCTGACTGGGTTTAAACCACAACACTGTTACTAAAACTGTAAAAGCAGGCTTTTAGCTGTGCCTAAAACAGACACATCCCTGACTGAAGCAATACTTACTGTGGTCAGACAATGATCAGAAACAAAATTAAAAAAACATAAGGTAGCACCTGAACATTCCCTTACTTTGCAAATGAATAGAAGAGGTACAAACACAAATAACCTTGATGTATGCACTGCAGTTCACATGTGAAGTGACAGGTTTCTAAATTGTTTTATCTACTGTTTTCTTCGTGAAAAACTACATATCTTGCTTATGCATTTTTGCATCAACAGTATTTGAAAAGCACAGATGAAGCAAACTTCTACACATGAAGTGCACTGGTTTTAACACTGAGCTTCAAAATTGCTCTGATTGATGATGTTTTGTGGGAATAAGAAGATGGCAGTTTATTTTTCACTTTAGGAGCAAATTAAATAAGGACTAAAGTCAGAGTAATGGAAGGATAGGGTAAGTGTAGTTAAAGCAACTGAACACTGCAGAAGCTGATGTCTGCCATACTGTGCTGCTTCTTTAACAGTTCCCTGAATAATATCAAAATGGAATTCAGAGTAACATAATAAAAAGAAAACAAGTTTTAAATGGCTAAAAAAACATATGCTTTGGGAGAAACTGCAACAGATGGAATATCTAGGAATTAAGTATCTGGGACTCCTCAAACTGCTACTATTTTTAATGGGTAGTAATGACATTATGAGTGAATTTATAATTTGGCTTTTTTAATCCTTTTCTCCAACAAGAAGTTAAATATAGAATAATATTACTCATCAGTGCTGTTACTGGAATTTAAGACCAGTTGCAAGTAAATGTATTTCTAATGAAACATTTACAATAAATGAAGGGTTATTTGCCAACAAATGCATGTAAAAATGTATACATTATGATGTGTGTAATATATATCTATATGAAATATAATTACATGGAATGCCAATAATTTGGACTACAAACATTGTATTAATAGTGGAAAAGCTACCACTTTACACACTAAGGCCTAAACATATGGTCTTTCTTGCTACATCTACTTCAGCACTGCAGGTACATCACGTATCACTTTGCCCCACCAAGACAGAACAAAGGGTAAGTTGCAAGCAGTTCAACACAACTGTATGATACTTTGAAGATGCAAAAAAAAGGCCAGGTACAGTCTAGCCAGGAGCCCATGATGGATTTCTTCAAGAAGAAGCACACCGGGAAGACCCGCAATTCTAAAGAAATCTTACAGCATGCTTGCACAAGGTTACACACACAAATGCTCTAAGCAAATTTTTCTTTTATCAACCCTCTCCAAAACCCGTTACATCAGTTTCTGGCACAGCAAGCAACTGGACAGGTTTTGTGCAACTGGTATTTCTACCAGTAGCTGAGCACGCTGAATATGGAAAGAACCACCACTGGAACAAAGCATGGGGCATCACTAAAATATCACAAATGAAAATTCTGACTCTTAATTTTACTGAAAAGGCTCTATTTCTTCACAGGAAAAACACAAAAGCTTTCTTAACAATCCAAGGTATAAATCTTAGGCTTTCCTACTGTAGTGCAGAGTTGGAGGAAAAATAATTAAAGATCTAGTTGCTGAGTCAGTTGAAATACTCGATTAATTAATAAGTCTGGGGTATACTCCAGAATTCACTTGCATACACTATGACTGAGGTGACCCTAGGCAATTTAGTCCATACTGTTGTAGGGTACTCAAAGCTGTCTTCAATTACCTAATTAATGATCCTTAGGCTTTTGTGAGGGGCATACTGAAACAGAAGAAATAACAGCTTTGAACCCTTGTTAATGCAAAATGTATTTACTACGCGAGGAAATACATATATGAATATGCAAGTGTCATTTAATCCAAGAAATCCTTCCCAAGGTAGGTGACACAAAGATGAAGAAGCATTCCTACAGTATTCCCAGCTCCTAGAAGCCAGTACATTTGGAATAATGCAGGTTAACAGACACAGTCAAAAACGTACAATTTTGAAAGGCAATGTACATGAATCTTCAGTAGGCTATAATTTAGAAAAAACACTACAGAAAAATCCTCTAAAACCTTCATGATGTTCCTCAGTAGGATCAGGATCAGGATCAGATTTCTATTTTATTTTCAGGTTTCATTTTGTTAGATTTTAGTGTGCAGTTATCACTACACTTGGTTAATTAATCCATTACTGTCTAATGACCAACTTTAAATAAATCAAATAAGCACTACAAAGAGCACACTGAATTTTCTCTCCCTTGATTGGCATCTGAGGACCTTCTGAACATATACGTGGCCACAACACACACAATTTACTAAAAATCTTCAGTCACACATGCACTAATGACATACATCTCATAAATGGAAAAAATGTATAAACAACCTTTTGAAAGAAAACAATGTTTCAGGGAGTTCTTTAAAAGTGAAATTAATTGAACTACCAAATTTTCATGCTATAACAGTCTTGTAGCCTTACAGCTACAACTGTAAGATCATGCAGTAGATTCACACCAGAAATGCATCCTATGGCTTGGGGGACAGGGGGTGAAATCTGAGGGTGGGGTGAATACTGTTCTCACATAAGTAAACACAGTGAACTTGAATCTCATCAGATGTCGTCCTGGGTTCAGCAGCAGCAGTCGCAGCAGTGAGCGAGCAGCTGCATGGCTCTGGGTTGCTGGCTGGGCTTAAACCAGGACAGATGTATGTGCTGAAAATTCCAGATATTGTACATCCAATAACAAAACAATGATTAAGAAAGTCCGTTCTCAACTTTACTACAGCTTACCTGGATTCTTCCAATGGATGTTGAACAGTAAGCAGTCGAGGGTGCCGAAGCCTGGTTAGCTGTTGAACACCTCGTTTTAGAGAATCAATAATCTGATCCTTTTCAAATTTTTGATACTTGTCTATTAGCTTCTTATCAAAGACAAAAACAGCCACTTCCTAGAAATAGGCAACAAAATTCACTCAGTATATCACATAGCCAAAAAAAACAAGCCTGTATGCAATCGCATACACATTTTTTGAATAAACAGTACAATCCCACAAATGCAGTGTTTTGATGTATATATACATATTGTCCTTATTTTGTCCCAGTCATAATCACATGTTACTGTACAGAACCTCCAGGACATATATTTTAACAGTTAAGGTACTAACACGTATTACTAACAGTAATACATGAACTATAACCACTATCTACACAGTGACAAAGCAGCAGATCCACAGAACATATATCAGCTTAAATTGAAGTAGATGAAAGCATTTACATCAACTACGAGCAATTAAAATATTTTGAGCAGATGCGCATTCATTTGGCATTTAATACATGCTTTATTAAACTAGACCTTGTTTCAGCAATCTGCCCCAAAGAAGTACAATCTGTATTAAACTAGACATTCATGAAACGTAATTTATAGTCACAGTAATCAGTTTATAAGACCACGATAAAATATTAAGAATTTTTAATGCTTGAACATGTGTAAAAAGAAGTCCCAGAAATGCAGTAGACAATAAAACCAAAGAAAATAGTTCTTCCATCAAATCTCTGCAAATGAAGCTGAAGAAAATTAATAAATTTGTATGAAACTTTGAAATTACAAAAGTAGATGTGAAATAAAAAAATTAGATTACATCCCCATCTTGGAAGCCATTAAAAAGAAATAAATCAATTGAAGAAGAAAGGAAATTAAAAAAACATCATGAAACAAACATTCTTGTACTTCTACAATAGTGTTGTAAATAATGATAAAAGTTAGAAACAAGTACAAAATAATACGAAAATACAATTTTCAGTCCCACGAGGATGTCTAGGCTCTTGTCATCATCATCATGGCTTGACTTCGCGAACGAAGATTTGGGAAGGGCATTTACCCACGCTTACTACAAGCGCGCTGATGACTAAGAAGGCCAATGTGGGATAGGCAAATCCGGCTACAAAAAGCACAACAGAAGGTCTCCTTGGGTGAAACAGGTGGGCCGCGATTCCTCCTGTGTTGTCTTTTCTCCTCGAGACTAGTTCTTCGTGAACTCTCAAAGGAGTCAGCAGCATTATGTATGGTGTGCCTCCAAGTCTCCCAATTGGAGGCCAAGGTGGACCACTGATGGTAGTCAATATGGGCAAGGCTAAGGTATTGTTTCAGAGAGTCCTTATATCTCTTCTTTGGGGCACCTCTCTTGCGGCTACCGGTGGCAAATTCACCGTAAAACACGACCTTGGGGAGGCGGTGATCCTTCATTCTAGAGACGTGCCCTGCACTGCACATTTTATAACCATCATTCTAATTACAACCTCAGAGGAATAGTTACACTATTTATATAAAAAAAGAAATTAAGTCAAACACAGAAAAAAATTGGTTTATATTTTTTAGCTGATACCTGTTTCATTAAACCACTAGCAGGTGAACATCTACAGCTAACTCAGCTAAGTACACTCTTCCTGCTTCTATCCATTGCAGCTCCCTGCTCCAACTCCAACAAGTGTAATGGATCAAACATTAGCACTGGCACAAGGCAGGCAGGAATCAATTACAGGGGTTGACAGATACATGCAATACCTATTACATAAAAAAAACCTACACATTTTCCATTACAAAGTGTGAACGTATTGAGCAATATGTGACCAATAACACTTTCAAACTAACACAGCACTTCCGAAAGCACTTCTGTTTAAAAACAAGTCAAAAGAATTCAGGAAGTTAATTTTTAAATTGCATAGCATGTGACATCAGCTACACTATGAACATTTTACGATGGCTATAGGTTCTGTTGGTGCTTGCTGCAATCTGTCATGGTTTGTTTGAAGTTTGACTGAATTTTTACATATACAGAATTAGGTTACCATAAATATGTATATGAAATTGTAGTATTCTAGGTATGAAAAATATTTCTATCACATTGATTTTGTAGACTTAGTTACTGTAGAGTGTCAAGAATCAAAATAATTTGCGCTGTGTGACACCTTGCTTTCAATACCTTCATTTTGATGTAACGCCTGATACAGACATCTCTACTCATGGACACTAAAAGGTTAATTGTCGTTTGATATTAGTAATTCAAAATATGGCATTCTGAAATTCATTTCTATAATCAACATTAATTTTTATATGCAGAATGCTATACCAACAATATAGTATCTTAACTCCCGTATGTCACCAGATATTACTGTACAGAAGAATGAAGAGATACCTGAGTCATGGGCCATAGAACACACTCTCAATGCACAAAAATTACTGAAACAATACAGCATGCTTGGAAACATTTAAAAGCGTTCATGGTATTACGGTTTGTGAACCAAACTGACCTGCCAAATTCTGACTATGAACACATTATTTCTGTTTTTCCTTTTCTGTTTTACAAGAATTCAAGCCTTGAGTTACTCAGCCCGAAAAGGAAGGCTACGGACTATAGCTGATAGGGATTCAATTTCCTTCCATTATTTCCATGGAAACTTACCAAGATGAAGGCCTGCTACGGCTACAACAGTTACCACTTCTCTCCACAGAAAGCTCTAGAGAAGCTTCCACTTTGTTGGGTTTTTTGGGTTTTTTTTTTTTCATTTCACAGGTTTGAAGGAAGAGTAGCTTCCTCCTGCAGATGACTACTTGTTATTTAATTCTGCATAATTCTGACTTCATGATGTAAAATTAACATTAAAAACCTAAAATATATTTAAAAAAAATAAGACTGGTCTCCACAAAGAAAGTGAAAAAGTAGAGACAAAACAACCCTTACCATTAACAATACAGATTTTCATTCATTATGTAAAAGGAAGTATACACACCTTGTTCTACATGCTCTTGTCTCAACAAGTATACTGGTAATGCTGGGCTAGTAAGTATAGACAAATATTTAGAGGACTAGACTGACCACTCAAGAGATCTAAGTTTAAATCTCAGTTCTGTTCACAAACATAAGACCATCTGCACCTTCTGTCTCACCTCCCACATGTTTAAGCCAAGGGATGCTCATTTACTTCAAAGTAATATTAGGCAAACCTCAGTGATGTCACTGAGACAGCTGTATGTTATGATGCGTACTGTGTACATATTTGCCAGGATTAAGACCTTAAAGAAAACATCTGTTGTTACTGTCAAGAATTTAGATTTTTAACATGAATCACCTAAAAAGTATCAGTGTTTAAGTTCTACACTGCTTTTGCAAAGGAACTGAATGTCACCTGTGCCAACAGTAGTAAGCATTGTCCACAACATGGAACACACAGGATGGACTTAACTGGGCTATAATCATATTTACTCATCTAGAACACTTTAAAACACTGAAAAGTGTCACAGTTCTCTTTGATTGTGATCGTGTATTTTATGGGAATCCTGTTGACCGTTGTCTCAAAGACCTGGTATTCGCTACGAAAGTTCATAAAGCTTTTTTATCCTTGTATTTTTAATCACTAAACACCCCAGTTTCCTATTTCCAGCTTCTTTAGGCAGTCTTCCTTTGTACTGAGTCCAACTGAGCTGGATTTAACTTTCTTAATAGCATCCCATAAGGTGCTGTGTTTTAGATTTGTGGCTAAAACAGTACTGATAACACACCAATGTTTTCACTGTTGCTGAACAGTGCTTGCACAGGCTCAAGGCTTTCATTTTTTCCTACTCTGCTCCCACAGTAAGTAGGCTGTGGGTAGGCAGGAGACTGGAATGGGACATGATCAGGACAGACAACCCGAACTGGCCAAAGGGCTACTCCGTTTCATAGAATCATAGAATAGTTAGGGTTGGAAACGACCTTAAGAACATCAAGTTCCAACCCCCCTCCCATGGGCGGGGACACCTCACTCTAAACCATATCACACCAAGGTCTCATCCAACCTGGCCTTGAACACTGCCAGGGATGGAGCATTCACAACCTCCCTGGGCAACCTATTCCAGTGCCTCACCACCCTAACAGGAAAGAATTTCCTCCTTATATCCAATCTAAACTTCATGCTCAGTGGTAAAAACCTAAAGTAGAAAAAGAAGCACTATTGTGATGAACACTGCAGAAACTCAAATCCTTCTATTTTCAATGCCATTTTGAACAGTGTGGGGAATAATACCACAGACTAGGCACAGAACAACAGCAAAGAAAAGAAAAAAAAAACCAAACCCAAAATATTTAATTACTACAGTTCACCATCTATCCTGTAAACTGAAGGATGTAGTGGAAAAAAATACATTAAATGTGATGATGTTAAAGACTATGTCATGAATATAAAAGCAAGGGAAAATTTAAGGTAGCAGCTGCGTGCTTGATTTTAGAAACTTTGTTTGTTTTCCCTTTCATTTTTGTTCTCTATTTTACTCATAGGCACTCATACATTTTTCCAATGAATACTCAAATGTAACTCAGTATGCAAACACATGCTTTACCAAAGCCTCCCACTGTGCAAAGCAAACCAGTCTTTGAACTAAAATACTGAAAAGCATTCCAATATTACTCTGGTCTTTTGCCAGAAAAAGATTTTCCTCCAGCTTTTTAGGGCTTTATTTTTAGAAGCTTGTCAGTGTTTTTTGCTATCAATTTGTTTCAGCCATAAGCTATACAACTATTTCAGTTCTAAAATGAATCTGCCTTTAAAGTTCACATAGTAGGAAGCTTTCATTTCAAAGCTAATGTATGCACAGTCAAAACAACAGAAAGTTGATTTACCTAACATTAATATATTTAGAACTACCACAATAAAAGTTAAACACAACTACAGGAGTCTTGAAGTGCAAACCATTATCTCCTTAATCCTGCTAGTTTTACAACTAAGGTGAGCAAAAAACTATAGGCTCTGTTGCTGAGAAAAAAATGATGGCATATTTCATGATTATTTTAAACTGTAAAAAGCCAGTACTGTTGCCAGAAGAAAAAAAAAAAAGCTGCAAGGTAAATAAATTGGGGAACCAATCCATGTTAAAACAAGCTGCTTTCTTCTTTTAGACCTTGGTCTGGAATTGTATGCTATGAATGCAAAACCACTTCCTTCTCCAGCAGTGAAGGCTTATCACCTATGCAGCTGAGGACATTATATTTAAATGATGTTCAGTTCTTCATTTCATTTTAGTTATGGTACTACCCTTAGCACTAGTCTGCCCAGTTGGATTTTGTATTTAAATGACACCAACTGCTACCTAACAGGCTGTTATCTAATGCTTACAAACTAACCTATAAACTTAGGTCTTTACTTGGCCACCCACCTGTTTTGTTGATTTTTTAGTTCCATTAAATATCTTCCAAGCAAGACCATTACCACCACTGGCAATATGTCGGCCAACATCGAACTCCCTGGTAACAGGATTTCCCATGACTGCACTGGTGACATCAGCCGTTACCTTTGTAACAGTACTCTTCAATTTATTCAGCATGGACTCCATTGTCTCAACTGTGCCCCAATGTATTATTCTACAAAGACAAGAAAAAAAAAAAGTTTCACAATTTCTGTTAACACAAGACACATGCTGAAAAGTGTAACACCCACACAAGGGCTTTGCAATTATACATATCCATACTGCATACAATTATTTGCATGTGCATGCCTGGGGATTATATGTCATAGAATCACATATTCAACTCAACTGGAACAGAGTTTTAAGATCATCAAGTCCAACCATTACCCCAGGACTGCCAAGACCACCACAAACCATATCACTGGGGTCCTCATCTACATGGTTTTTGAACGCTTCCAGGGACAGTGATTCCACCACTTCCCTTGGGCAGCCTGTTCCAATACCTGACCACCCTTTCAGTGAAGAAATGTTTCCTAATATCCAATCTATATCTCCCTTGGTACAGCTTGAAGATATTACCTTTTGCCCTACCACTTGTTACTTGGGAGAAGAGACTGACTCCCACCTCACTATGTCATTGCTGCTACTCCTCCTCAAAAACTTCTGAATCTCTTGATCATTCTTCATTAGATCTGAGAAATTCAACCATTTCTTAAAAGCAGGTAACTGAATAAAGCAGGGAATATGTAAACTGCTCCCATGACGGGAAAGGTTCACAGCTGGTATATCAATATCAATCAACAAAGAAAACCAGATCTAAAAGAAAACAGGATACTTTAATTCCAGTGTTCATGGAACTACGTATTTTCTGAAGAGAGCGATTGCTTAAGATTCCAGACCAGAAGAAGAATGGGTGTGTATTATATACAGAAGAAAAATGTGTTTTTTCCTATACTGTGCTTGTCAAAGCTTAAAATTCAGTATTTTACTCATCAGATTGCTGACATTACTATTTGTATGATTCAAGTATTAATGAGCTTAAGTATTAATAAGGTGATGCAAGGGAAGGAAACAAGAACCCACCTTCTTATGCTTTATTTAAAAAAAATTGTACACAGAAGTTTCACCTTGCAAATTTATGAGCTAAAGGATGGTGGCAGCTTACAATTCAGTTCATCTTCCCCTCAAAGTGTACTTCCATAGTTTCCTAAGTTGTCGTAATTAGTTTCAAAAAATCTGACTTGCCTATTCTGACAGACAGAAGTTCTGAAGCCTATGTTCATTTATACTATTGTGTCTCTGATACAGATACACAAGAAAGAATGAATACAAGAAACAAGCAGTGAAAAACAGAGACAGACATTCATCTTCCTTATCAGTGTGAACAAAGATGAAGAGGGAATGTAGGAATAAATTATTTCCTGGAATCAGCATTACGTGGTATATTCAAAAGCAACATTTAAGGATATGTCTTCATTCTTTCTTTCAAATAAGGTATGGAGAGCACTATTTCTTCAACCTATAGTAAAATAAACCTAAGATAGCACATCAGGAAATGTACTGAAATCTTCAGAAATACTATTTTCAATTATGGCCTTATTTGTCATATACTTGACTCACTGGCATATAATTTGTATTAAAGTACTTCTTTGAAAAACAGAGGAAGACATTACTATTGAAATGGCAAAGATAAGATTCTGTTGTGACAAAGATGATGTTTATCAAATCATTATAACAAGGACAAAAGCAGCAAAAGGCATTAACAAATAATCCAGTGAGCACTGGGACTAATCAGTCCCAACGTCCTTCTGATTACATGCGGTGCTTGCTTGTAGAAATTACAGCTCTTCCCACTGTATTATATACATTTATAAGGCAATGGTCTGGTCTATATAATTCCAGCTATTCCACAGCTTTTTCCATATTCAAGACACAAATGGATTTTGTTTCCTCTTCACAGCTCTTTAGTCTCACAAAACCTGGAGCAACCTATTTTAGACACCTCTATAGCTTGACTGAAATGAATCACACTAAAGTTATTCCGGCATGCACACCTTCCTTCCCATAGATCTGATGCCATTAGAAATCAAGACAAATAACCTGATTAATATTAAATTGGAAAGATAGACTTACTTTCTGAAAGCAGTAACAGATATACTGAACAACTTCTTAAAAAGTTATATGAGTTACTGAACAATTTACTCCAGCATATTGTTGCAGTTATAGCCCACCTTCAGTATTCTTCCATAGAGCAATGCAGAAATACACTAAATGCTCTAGCTCCATAGATATCCATTTTCCATGTCAGCTGAGTGACTCAGATTTGTGCTATTAAATGAAGAACCAGAGCAGGAGTTATAAGAAAATGTTATTATAAAACAGGAAGGTATCCTGCTACACAGATCTTAATCTTGAAAATACTCAACTTCAAAATTAGAAATATCAGTTATAGCTCAAAGGGGACTATCCAGGCACACAACCAGGTTTAACTGCAAGCACGTTCAAGGTGGAGTTGGCCTTAATTATGGGGACTGGGAGTCTCAGATGAGGAGCGGAGTCTGAATACAATGAGATAATCTTAAGTACGTACTTGCTTGTTATGTATTAAGTGTTTTGTTTAAAACATAGCTGGAAATAAATTACAGGAACGTAGAAATCCTTAATTATTTTATTACACTATGTGACATTTTATAACAATATGTTAATTTTACTTTAAGAATTGTGCTGTGGAAAAATGCATCCAGTTATAACTTGGCAGCCTAAGACCAAACACCTGTTTGTCATTGGCTAATATCCCCATATAAAGGAATTTTTCATTAACCTGACAGAAACAAGGATCATGGAGTATTCAAAGTGGGAGGTATTTCCAGCTCTCTGAGATTTTATTCTGCAGCCATTCCATGGTGCAAACTCTACATGCTAAAGGACTATGAAATCAATCCTAATGAGTTTAAGGTAACCACAAATCTAATTTATTTGGTTTTAAACCTTGTGCTTTTTGCATCATTTCATTCACTCCTAGCTGTTAAACCTTCTCTAGTATCAATGCAAAACAATCTTGTGTTAAAACTCTGAAAACTGAAGAGACACTTTGCAAAATTAATTGTGGAAATATTATGAAGAAAATGGATGTGCATGTTCAAATTCCTTTGTATAAATACGAAAGGGGGCTTCTCTACACAGCTGGTGGAAAAATTGTGTAGCCTTGATTAAATCAGAAGTGCCCTCTGCTGTGGGTGAAAATTTAACTCTAGTGAGAAGCCTGGAAAAGCCACTATGTAAGAATGTTAACAGCATTCCAGTGTCTGAAGGATTAGGGCTTAAAAATCAAGCCTGGTAGGCCCTGTCCAACCTGTTCCTCTCCAGCTTGACAGTATGCAAGCTACTGTTTAATTTAGCTACCAAGCAAGGAGTACTTAGAAACTTATTTCTCAATAAGCAGCTTCTGGTGTAAGTTCATGTAACATTGCATATTTGTAGAAATCCTTGTATCAGCATTTGGACTGTAAAAGGTATCTTGAAAATCCATGCCAAAAAAAAACCCCAGACACAACCCATACACCTATTCCGGGTAGTACCGATAATACAACAAATCATCATGATTAACCATATCTGAAATATACAATTTTAGTTCACAACTGTACAAGCCTTGGTTTGTTCAGTTCTTTTAAAAAGTTAATTAACAACCACAGAACAATAAACAGTCACTCACAATGAAACTTTCATTTAAAGTTAAAATGTAATAAATGAGAAAAGTACAGGATATTAAAAGTAATAGTGTTCAGACAAGCAACACAGGACATTCAATATAAGTTTGAGAACTTTGATTTCATCCTGTTTGAATTTCATAGGTAATATTAATGCTACTGATACTAGCTCCATGAAACCTGGAACTAATCCTAGAAAGAAATCTGAATGGGCAATGTGTTGTTTTCAGAAATTCCCCTCCCAGTCAACAATGGTCTTTATGCTAATGTACATCAGCAACAATATGCCAGAATGATGACGACCTAATCACTTGGCAAGGTAGGAGGAAACAGCCAGCACAGCAATGAGAAACGAGGCAAAACACTCAAAATGGTGAAATAAAGGCAAATCCAAAACAAAGATTCCTCAATTCCTCACTATTCTCACTTAATGTAAAACAACTGCATGATTTAAAGCTATTAATTTATCCTAATAATCCACAACTAACTCATAGCTTCACCTGATGCATGGATACGGGTGCACACTGCAGGGCAGTGAATCATGCACCCTACCAGCATTTGACGTATCACAAGCTGGGATTCGCCTTTGTGAACCAAGACAGCAGGCAGGTGCATGAGTACTTCATGCCACCCAACCTAAACTTCCATTCCATCCAACTGACCCAAACAATGACGAATTCACAAAAGAAATAGGTGACAGAACAACTGAGTCTCAAAGAGAGAAAACAAACAAAAAAACCCACAAACCCCCCAAACGAGCACGTTTTTTCAGGCACAACCAATCTCTTGCACTTGTTATAAGAGCAACTGAAGGATCAAATGCAATGATGCACTGTTCACGGTGTAGCTGCACTCACTATAAACCACCTTCCTAATTTTTCTTCATCATTTCAGTACTGAGTTTCAACTGAAACCCCACCAGAAACTCACATGAGATCCATACAGGGAGATCTGCCTGGCGCTTGCTGACAGGTGGAACCTAACCTAAACGCTGCAGAAACCCCTGGACTCTAGGAGACTCTCTAGACAAAGCATTTACTGTTATCTTCAGCGAGACCAGACTTTTCGCCGCTTCTTCGAGAACCTCCCGCCAGCGGCGCGCAGGAACCCCCGACCTCCCCACTGCCAAAGGGCCGGTGGCTATCCTCGCAGGTCCGCGGGGCAGCCAAATGGATCCTGCCTGAAGCAGGCGGCAGCCAGAGGCAGACGGCGGTGAGCGGCATCTGCGTGCAGGTGATCCACCGGCTCGGGCGGCTCAACAGTCCCCTTGAGGCCCCGCTCACGCAACGACCGTGCCTCCTGAGCGGCCCCTTCCTTTCTACCACCCTGCGCCGCGCCCCCGGGACGCAAGGCCGCCGCCCAGTGTCCCTGTGGGCCCTGCCCGCCCCGCACACCATCACTAGGCCACAAGTAGCCGCTCCTGCCCCGAGGCGCGGGGGCCAGGCCGCTTACCTAAGCCCGCGGGAAGCTGCCGCTCAGCGCCCGGCTCCCTGTCGCCCTGTGGCCCCAGCGCGCCGCCTGTCACGCCAGCTGTCTCTCGCGCCGGTCCGTGCTCGGCCCCGTCCCGCTCCAGCTACTCCATAGCGACAGCCACAGCGCCGGGGAGGGGGCGGCCGGAGCACGCTCACTTCCGCCCCAAAGGGGCGGTGCTGGGGCGGTGGCCAGAAGGGGCGGAGGAGGGTGGGAAGTGATGCACTCGCCCAGCTTCCGCCGGCGGTACTAGCCGCTGTTATGGCGGTTTATTTGACTCCGCGGTTCAGGAGGCTCCGCAGTCAGAGCGAGTTGGAGCCGCGGCGGGGGAGCGGCCGGCGGCGAGGTGGGGGAAGACTTACGGCCGCCCCCCTGCTGCTGCGGCTGCTTCTTCTGCAGTGTGCTCGGGGCTGGTAGGCGGCTCCGGGGGAGCGGAGCGGGCTCTGAGGGTCCTGCGCGTGTTCGTCCGTTGGACTGGGGCCTCGGGCTGCAGGTGCCGTGGGAGGGGCCGTTGGCCCTAGGAGAAGGCCCAGGTGTGGCGGTCAGAGGAGGCTGTACTCCGACGAGTCGTGGGGGGGGGGAACGGCGCTGCTAGGGCTGTGGCTGACCGTCGGAGCGAAAGGTTGAGGGCAGAGAGATTTATGAAATTAAATATATTGCAAATGTTGGTTTGTCGTGTGCCAAGCTGAGAGCGATGTATGGAAGAGAAACTGGGGGCTGGAGGAGCATCTCCCCTAGCGGAGGTTAGGAGAGCTGGGGCGGCTTAGTCTGGAGATGAGAAGGTTCGGGGGGCTTCTCATCAATGCCTTACCTTTGGAGATAACTCAGAACTTCTTTTGATATGGTCCTGGGTGACCAGCTGCCCTGCTTGATCAGGGGAGGTTAGACCAGATGGACCCCAGAGGTCCCTGCACGCGTCAGCCGTTTTGTGATTCTGTAATGAGTTAATGTGTATGTGTACATACATGTCACAAGTGAGGTAACAACAAAAAATCCCCTTCCTCTCCTGTTTTTACTGTCTTTTTGTTATCTTCTGTGTGGCCCTACCTTGTGTCCTTTACAACAAGGACTGATTCATGACCTGTTATATTTCTCTTTCTTTGTAAAATTAAGCTGATTTCTGAGGATTTTTTCAACATACATATACAAATAATCTCACAGAGTAAAAATTTGTATTTTACTGTTAAAGCTTTATAAACATCTGTAAAACTTTCATATACTTATTTTGCAGATTGTGATGGTCCTTTTCAAGCAACTCAGCTGTGGAATAGTATTATTCATGCTCTTCATAGTCAAGTGGAAATCAAAAGACGTAGGCAACATCTGAGAACATACAAAAACTGTTTCACCGGCTCCAATGCCGTTGATGTGGTACTGAGCCATCTCATGCAAAGCATGTACCTAAGCTGCAATGATATTTCTCGGTTGAAGGGAGTCCGTGTATGCCAAGCACTGATGGATCACAAGGTGTTTGAGCCAGTTGGAGCAAAGCTTTACTTATTCAAGAATGAGAAAGAAACGCAGTTTGAAGACACAAACACTAGTCTCTATAAATTTGTAAATAGTAGTCTTACTCCTCTCCTTCCAAGAAAGAATAGAGACAATGAGAGCTTGTCTCCTGCGCAAATCTGTAAACAGAAGACAAAAAGAAGTTCCAAGTGAGTTACTCTGAACTATTTTGATTTTATTTTTTTAACTTGATAGGGGTTAACTGTAGATGAAGTTTTGTCTGCCTGACCTAGGGGTTGGAGGCTTTTGAGAAATGCCAGTTTTGAGAAATGGCTATGTCTAAATAATAGATGCTGCCTGATATTTGTTGGTAATGTTACATTGTTTTGATCTGCACTTTGCTATTTAGAAGATAGAGTCTGGCACAGTAGCATAAGCCTAGGAATCATTTTGGTTTGCAGTCAGTTGTGCTGAAATCTGAGAGTTGTCATGACTGAGCTACTTGCTGGAAGCTGGTAAAAGAAATGGAACTAATAAACAGCATTTGGAACCAATAACCTTGACCTTTCCACAAAGCAGATGTGGATGATTGTTTTTCTAGCAGCAGGATAGACCCCGGATACAATGGCACCCTGAAGTCCTGATTTGACAGCAGTTTAGGGAGTTACAGAAAGATAAATGTGTCCTGATCATATTTGTTATACATTTAATTTATTCCCTCCCCCAAGCAGAACGAAGAGTGAAACAGTTTCAAGCCCCTTAGCATTGGAAGTGGCTGATAAAAAGAGGGTAGAGGAGCTTCTTAAATCAATAAATGTTCATGCATCTTTACCTCCAAAGATCATGGTTAGTGAAGCAACTCATCGGCTTTCAAAAAGAGGTGAGGATTGAATTTTTCTTTTTAAAACTTTTTTATTCTTCACTGTATCTACTTGGAATGAGTAGTTCATTTCTGTTAAACACTGCCCCTCAGAGTCCTGAATTTAACGTGTCAGTAATGACAAAATAGCTAAATGAGTGCTAAATGGATAAATGCTTGTAGTAAGTAAACTGATAGAAACAAAACAAGATTGAGGTTTTGTAGTATGGTGCTATTGTATTTATGCAAATACCGCTTCAGAAGGAAGTAAGTTTTAAGTACGTATGTATTATGGAGTTCTTTTGCTATTCACTTTGTCTCCTATGTATTGCTAAGTAGAGCAGGTTATTACTAATACTAACATGATGGGGGAGAAAGATGTTCCCTTTAAAGCCTCCTTTCTTGGCATTCTTATTTTGTCCCATTCTTGAACACTTGAAACATTCTTGAGTAAGTAAAAGCAAAGGTTAATCTTTTACATAAGATCTTACTTCCGAGGGTGGTTTTTTTGTTTGTTTGTTTATGGTAACAGTAATAGAAGATGTCTGGAAACAGCAAACCCTGCTACGACTGCTGCAGTTAATTGACATTCCATTCCTAGAAGATATCTTGGTGTCTTCAGTGAAGACAAAACCAGACTGTTTTGGCAAAGAAGAAGATCTGATTATCTCAAATACTTTCCTAGACAGAGAGATTGCAAGTAGCTTAAAGTTGCCTGAGTAAGTTATACATCTATAAAATGGATTTCTTAGTAAATGCTTTATTTTACTATTCAAAGATTTGTGTTAAGTACACATCATTACACTTTATGCTTGTAGTCAGAGGTGGCATTAATGAACTTCCCTTTGTGAACTTAAGATGTGGCAATCAAATTCACAAAAAGTGGATTGAAAAGATTTATTCTGAGGCTTCTTGATTGTCACAGTTCCTCCTGGTGGTGCTGGAAAGACTAAAAAGTCAATAAGGCATTCATTGTCAACAGCAAGAAAAGGCGAAGCTAAGCTATAGCATTAAAGAATGCTTATACAATGAGACTACAAAAGGGAAAGTATGCATGTCTTAGAGCTCTTTTCCTTAAATGTTCTCTTATTTTTGTAGTGATTGCACTTGGGCTGATCTCTATCTTAACATGTACTTTTAATGAATTTGTCAAGGCATGTCTCCGCATTTGTGTATGACTTACTAATGCTTATTTCTGACAAATCAATACAATCTATTTGTGAGATTGAGGTCAATCTGTGTACCTAAAAAGACTTTTTTATAGTTTTAATGTATTCTTTTTTTTTAGGGAGAAAACACTAATGTTTTTACAAATGTGCATAGTTTTATATAAGCTAATGAAAGTTCTGGTTCCAAACTAGGTATATTGCTGGATAGCATCTTCACTCCATGTTTTTTTCCTTCAAGAATGCATTAATGAACACTGTTTTTGTGCTTTATACTTACGTTGTACTTGATTTTTGGGGTGATTGGTGGGCTTATGTCTCTCAAAATATCTCGTGGTTCTTCTGTATTATTCTGTCTTAAGTGTATATAACATTATGTCTGATAATATATCAGGTGATTGTTAAGAAAATTAAATGCTAACTTCATTATTCTATAATTACTTAAGTGGGGAGTAGAGTAGTGTATTTGTGGACAGCATATTATTTAGGTCTGGCTGATAGCATGTCTGAGCAATGGAAAATTCCAGGTATGAAGAACAGCCACCAGTATTACAAGTAGTTGTAGGATTAATTGTCCCCAATATGAAGGTGAAGGAGTATGCCTAACTTTCTGCCTTCAGTTTTCAAATGATGTCTTGTTAAGCTTGAAATAATCAAATACCTGTTCTCATTGCAGATACTTAAAAACTGTAGTCAAACCCTGCTTGCAGTGATTGCACAACTCGTGGGATCATAACTAAAGGGAGTTCAGGATCCTATTTCTCCTTTATTGTATTACCCCATTTATGCAACCAAGGGTTCATACAATCCTTCTTAGCTCTGCAGTTTGAACAAAAATTCCTGTTTATTTACCTATACAGCAGAAGGATCAAAATTTTTTCCTCTCTCCATGATAAAAATGAGATTCTGTGGATCTTAAATAATATTTGCATCTTCTCACAAGCTATGGTTCAGTTCAAATTGTTTTATATCCAGAGAGCCAGATAAAATGTCCCTATGCCCCCCAGTTCTATAATTATAGATTTATTCTGTACAAAATGGTTGAGTTAGTGACTTTCCTCTGACCTTCCTCTTTGAAAAAGTAGTTATCTACCTGAATTTTAGATTCTCCTCATGTTTTCTCTCTCTAGTTAAGTTGTACAGATAAAAAATGCTTAAGAAAACTCATGCCTTTGTAGTGTGTCATGTAATGAACTGCTTCCACAGTCTTCTGAGATTTAAACTATTTTTATTTTTTCTGTTTTCTATTCTGTAAATATTCAGTCCCTTGCTTTTCCACCCTGGTTATCCCTGATGGGTTTTTGCTGTGCTTGGTTTTAAATACTAGATGAATTGGGCAAGTATCTTGGGGTCAGTGACAGTCTGGCATGATTGCATTTTATTCTAATCTGAACATACCTCAGCCGTACCACCTGTAGCATTGGAAAACCATGGAAGTTGCTTATTTTGAGCAGGTCCTTGAACTACTGTGATGAAATAAGTTACATAAACTGCTTAATAAGCACCAAGTTTAATGCTGTGGTTCAAATATGTGACTAGGCGTCTGTGATTATTTCTATCTAATTTTTTTAAAGGATTAAATAAGAATAGGCAGAGCATTTTAAAGTAAGGACTAAAACTAACTTTTCCTTCTACAGGCTTGACAAATGGCTCTATGCTGCAATTGAATGCTTGGAATATTTCCCAGACCAATTTATAGTGATGGTTAGTCAGCAGTTACCTCAAAGCACTAACAAACCCTGCAGTCTGAATACGTACAAGAAGATTCTTTTTGACACTATAATAAAGTACTATAGTCAAAAGAAAGACTCCCTTCTTGACACTCAGGATCTCAATATTCATTCAGGAATTATAGAACTTATAGGTAAGAGCAACCTGGAACAAAAAATGTAAGTGAAAGCTACATAAAGGATGTAACTTGCTAAGCATTAATTGGCTAAATCGTAACACCATTTGCAATGCTGTTGCAAATGCACTTTAATTTATAGGTTGGAAGGGAACACTTGAGGTTGCTAATCGGAACCTCTGCTCAAAGCAAGGACAAATTTTGAGGTTAAAGCAAGCTGCTTAGGTACAGCTGAATTTTGAAAACCTGCGAGGATAGAGATTCGTTAACCTCTCTGCGTAACTCATTTCAATATGTAACTGCTCTCGTTGTGAACATTTCTTGCCACTAGTCACAATTTCTCTTAATGTTACTTGTGACTAATAACAATACCTGATAGAAATGATTTTACTTTTCTCTTGTTAAGCAGAATAAGGTTTTGCAAGTTATGCCCTTAAGACTTTTTTAGTAATACAAATTATTTAAAATTATAAAAGGGGCTGTTCAGATTATGGTTCAGGCTACGATTTCCCTCACCATTACTCCCAATCCTCCCTACATATGCTCACAAGTAAAACAGAAAGGTTTAATTTAAATATAAATTTAAGATTAATCCTAATCTAAATAACCTTGTTACTTCTTCAGTTCTGTAGGATTTATGGAGTGTTATTAAATGTTTCAGTTTTTAGAGAACTATGGCAGTTTACTAGCATAGGAACAGAGTTGGCTTGTATAAAAATTGGAGCAGAGAGATAGATCCTGTGGTTGAAATATCACAAAAATATGACAGGCAATGTATTTATCAATAGTATTTTGCTGAACAGGAAAAAAAAAATATAAGCCATGAAAAGGAAACTATTGCAAAATTGCATAACCCATCCACAAGAAAGGAATGCCAGTTTGAAATAACTGACTTAAACACAAGTAACTTGTGCTAAATGTTCACTTAAATTTAAGAACTTTAAATTAAAAAGCACTTTAAATGAAAAACTGATACAAACCAATTTTATAGAATATATAGAGAATCAAACCAGCCAAATCTGTAGCAAGGGTAAAGACAGTTTCATAATTCTGATAAATAATGCTTTCATTGCCTGTAAGTCTTTTCCTTATAAAGTACCTGCTTGTTCTAAACTATATGACCTGTGAATGTCCAGGTCTATTCTGCTTTCTTACTTTTGCTTTAGTTTTGTCATCTTTCCAACTTGAGTAAGACTATCTCACAAGCAGTTTCTAATGCCTTATTTCTTTTTGACGAAGTGGTAACTATAACTTTATCATTAGGAAGTGATTTTATGTTTTAATATATTAGTTTGTTTTCTGGGGTCCTCAGCTGTGGTCTAGTTCATACTAGATCACTGTTAGGAGATTGTGATTAACTATTTTCCAACCGTTTTTCCATCTCAATGCTATGGAATATATTATGGTTGTCAGTGCCTAACAATTTGGATTCTACTAATAATTATCAAGTAGAATACAGTGCAGTTAACCTTACTTTGATAAAGTACCGTTGTTCTGACTCTAGTGCAAGAGAGAGTTTGAGCCAGCTATAAACATCTGCATATATAAAACACTTCAAAATTAATTTGAGAAGTGCTGCAGATAGCTGAAGTGCCACTTCATTTTGTCATCAATGTATGTACGGTTATAATTGTATTTCCCTCAGTTGTTGAACAGTTTGATTTCAGATGGCTGATAATACTATCATCTGTTACGAAAGCAAATGTGTTGTGCTTGTTTTTAAAATAGACAGATCTAGAATACTTATGCTAAAGATGAATGCAGTTGGTTAAATGTGTCCATTGGGCTTACTGAACTTCCACACCCAGAGAGTCTTTTAAAGCAACTCGGTAAAGCTTTTATCAGACCAGAGAAACTCTTGAGCTTTTCTCTAGAAGTGATTTAACTTCCTGTCTTCATATCTATACTTTTTACCTGTCTTGATCATGTCTTCTGGCAGTTCCTTCCTGCTCTTTTGTTTGGCCTTCTTTTATAAAAGGGTTACTTACTCTTGGTGTTCTTTCTAAACAAAAATGGTTTCAAATGGCCCATTGTACACCCTTTAAAGTCCTGGATTATTTCTTATAACATAAAATCTCTGTCCCCAATAATAGGACAGAGACCAGAAAATCATGCATAGGTTCTATTCCTGTATCTGCCATCATCTTGCTCTTGCCTTAAGAAAGCTACATGACTTTTCAGTACTTCCTCACTTTCAAAGTGAAGATAACTAGAATTATCTAAAGGGGGTTTTTATTAGAAGTTATTTCCACCTTATCACATTTCCTTGAGAAACTCCTAACCTAATGGCTTAAAAGGTGGGAGGGGTTAGGGTAGACCAACAAATCGACCTCTAACAGCAATCCCTCCTCCTTCCACGCCCCAAAAAATCCCAAACCAAAACAAAAATCCCAAACAAAACCCTCAAAGCAATGAGCAAGTTAGAATTGCTCAGCTCACTAATTATTTGGAGATGGATCGTGGAATATAATATGAAGATACGTAAACACAAACAGGTGCAAACACTGAAGTGATGATTGCAGTTGTACACAAAACATAGTAATGTCCTGTATATATTGTTTAAGCACATCTATTCTGTGACTAACTATGGGACAAAGGCTGTAAGCTTACATTGATTAAATGCTGTATTAAGTGTTGTCTAAAGGTTTTAGAAGTCACTGAGATAACCTGTTGTGTTTGGAGAGAACCCCCCACCAAAACTGGATTAATATGGGATTTAAAATATGTATTCTTGACTCTGAAAGTTAACAGTTTCACTGGATGCACTGTTTTACTCTGCTGCAGAAAAAGGAAAAACAGATCAAGCTCTAGAGGCGTTACAACTTTATTTAAAATTATTAGCACCAAATATCCGAGAAGAGCTACATAGACTCCTGACATTCATAGCCATTGCATCAGAATCTGATGGCTACAAATTACAGAAACAAGTAAGTATCTGTTATGTTTAGTGTGGGAAGTAATGTTTTCCCATGGGAAAACTACTTTTCACCCCTCCCACCCCCCAAGAGTTACAAGTATTCTGTTTATTGCCTTACAATGTGATTTGTTTTAGAACAAATATCAAAATGTTCTTCCCAATGATAGCATCCTGTTATACTTAGTCTTTGCTAACACACTGCAAGTAAACCTAATGCCACGTCTGAATGGTTCTTTTTCTAGTTTGAGAACAGATTGGTTATCATCAAGACTTTCACAAAGTTCATCTTACGAAGTAAGACATTGTCAAAACCACAGGCAGAACTCCTGACTCAGTTTCTGATGGACAGCCACTCCGACCTCTTGAAGGTAGCACTTTCCTCACCTCATTAGTTTTGTCAGTTTAAATGCCATGAAGTGCCGTTTTGGAGATGACATGTCTGAGGAGCAGGGTTTAATATTCCCATTACAGTTTAATGGTACAGTCAAGCAGAGTGAGAAGGTATTCAAGCTGTGGAGGACAGCTTTTTGAGAGTTTATAATCCTTTATATATACTATCCTCTCCCTTGCATCATTTCTATTAAGAAAATATTTAAAGTGTTGGGGTTTTTTTTTAGGTTTCATAGTGTCTTTCTCCTTTAGCAGTCAGCTGACATACATGGGTGGTGTTTAAGGTGGCATGCTCCGGTGTCCTGGTGTACCTGTACAGCTTTGACAACTCTAACAGTTCCTTTGGAGTTTTCAAATTTTAACTTTTAAATTGAATGCAGAATTAAATGGTCTTTCTTTTTAACATAATTAGTTTTGTATATATGCAGGCATATTTTAGTCTCCTTTACATTCCATTGTTATCACACATGTGAGAAGTTGCAACCTTCCCAGACCCTATATTGACTTTCTGAATTCAACCAGTGTGTAAAAGTTGTGCTGCTTCTCTACTGTTTTGCTTAATTATAAAACACCTCATTAAAATATTAAACTAGAGATGAACAATTAGGTAGAGATAAACAAGATAGAGATGAGCTAGTTGAATAATTAGCTATTACAATATACCTGTAAAATGGTGCAGGCACTTACTGTCCAGTTACAAATAAGTTTCACAGAAACATTGATCTGGTTTCAGTAAAATATTATTTTTAATTCTTACACATTTATTTCCATTTCTGACCTCAGCCAAAGACACATGGGAGATTTGTTTAATTAGCTGCAGTTCAGTTTGCAAGTATCAAGTGGTCAGTGTCAGTTTTGTACGTGTTACTATACAGCCAAAATAATTTGTTTGTTTCTTTGAGTTTTGTTTGCTGTTGAGGGTTCTGACATGACTGCAGATGGAGCCAGATCTGGCAAATGAAGTGCCCACTGCTTCACAGCAGAATGGGTGGTACCTTGCTCTTTCACAGGGCAGTAGAGAACATTGTGTATTTTATAAGCTGAAGTAAGTTTAAGGTCTACACTACACTGTTTGCCATAGTTCAGTGGAAAACACTGTCTAGAATATCCTGCTTCCTATTTAATTGGTCAGAAATACCAGAAATAAACATGTATTCTAGTAAAACTATGTGGTTTAGTGCAATTCTGTGAGAGATTTTGACCATGTACCTGAATAAATGTAAGCATTAAGTTCTGCAGCTAATTAAATATTTGGGGTTCATTTTAGTTGATCATCTGAAAGCTCTACATTCTTAAAATATAGAAGAATTGCTTTTGTAATTTTTTTTCTCTGTTGGGTTTTATTTTCAGACTCCTTTAACTCTTCTGGAGCTAACCAGTAGGAGACTTGAGAGTTTGCTAGAAGGACAAGATCCAGATACCAATTCAGGTAGATGATGTGATATGCATTTTTACATAACCCATTTTACAAAAATGAGTTTATCATCAGTTGACTATAATTCTGCATAGACTAGGTTCTTTTCCTTTATTAGAAATGAAGCATTAAAGTATTAGCAGCTAATTCACTAAATAAGTAAATTATCTGCTATAAGCAAAATACTGATGTCTGAATATAGAGAACAAGAATTCCATTAACTGTCTAGTTTGAACACATTACAAATTCTTTTTACAAAATAATTACTTCTGGAGAGATCAGCATGAAATGTGCTTCCTGAAGTGACTTGCTTATAATTTGGTTTGTGAATTTGATGTGATTTTATATTTAGAAATAGCGTTCTTATTTCTGACACAAGACCTAAAAATTCTCTTAGAGGCTCAGTAGTTTGACGTTCTGATAGATGTCTTGAGCACAGACCTGGATTGTTTAGTGTTTTGAAGAACACTCTCCCTTTTCTGTGTAAGTACAAGAGTGTAAGACTTGGGGAAGGGTAGTGTAGTTTAAAAGGCAGGCATCCAACACTTGGAATGCATGTGGGATTAGTGTTTTCCAGCTCACTTCTTTTACGAGCTAACATTCTGTCTGGCCTTGCTGCCAAAAATATCTTTCGGCACTGTGATCAAAAGGGTTGGCTTAAATAATTGAATTTATCTCTGACCCCGTCTTCCTTTTGATTTCTGTATTGCAAGTGCATTATGTACTTAAACGCTGAAGAGAAACCATTAGGGAACTGAATTACACTGCAAGTTACTGTGCTGTTGAATACTGTATTTAATATGGCAGCTGCCTGACAAGTAATTTGGGTACAGAATCTGTTACCGTCCGTGTTGAGTTTTTGAATATGCCAAAATTGCTTCCTCTTCAGTGTTCTGAGTATTGAGTAGCCCACAGAGATGAGCAACAGAGGAAGGAGTTGCCTGTCTGCAGAATTCTTGGAGTTTGTGATCTCCATCTGCCCATTGAATAGACAAGTGAAGTACAAACCCCGTGCTGTATTCTCCATACAAAGTTTTGGTGTTTTAATCTATAAATGCATTTAGATTCTATCTACTTGTTGAAGTACCTAGTTGGATCTGACTGTAAGCTCTCCAGCATGGCACTTCCCTATTTTCCTGTGTGCCTCATATTCTGGTGACATTTTCCCTCTTCTCATGGAGGAGACAGGAGGAAAACCTTTCCTGGGAGCTGCTGAGCATTCTCAGCTGGTGAACTTCTGAAGTGCAGGTGGGCGCAAGAGGGAAGGCTGTGGGACCCTGATAAGAAAGGGAGTCAGTCTAATGCGGGAGGGTAATCCTTAGGTCTGCTGGAAATATAAAACACTAAAAAGAGGGAACTGTGAGGTTGGCTTTAATCTAGTACCCACTTAAAACCGTTGGATTAAAGGATCCACCCTGAAGTTTTAAGAATTATTATCTTTGCCAGAAGTTAAGCTTTTTCTTTTGAAAGCACGGTCTTGACCTGGCTTTACTAAAACGTAAGTATTTCACATTTGGTGTTTGATAGACTTGGTGTAAAAGAAGGGAGGGACAAGTCCATATGAAAATCTGGTAGCTCAGGTTATTACAACTCTTGATGTGAAGCCTCAAGAAGATGGTGGTGTACAGAAGGAAGTTTTTTCCCCTTTAGGCAATTGTACTTGTTCAGCCAACTTGCTCCCTAACGCTTATAGGAGGAAAAAGTGTCTGGAGTAGCTGAATGCCAGTCTTTCCTTGGGCTAGAATTCACCTGCCTAATGACGGGGCTTGAGTCCTTGCAGAGCAGTACTCTACTGCATAGGTCCACAACTTTTTTATAGCTATAGAGTTGCATATCTCTCAGAGTGCAGTTCTTTGCCCTCACCCTGAACTGCTGCCTGTTGAATCACCTCTGCTTCTGGTGCCCAACCATGCTGAGCTGTCTGATCACCTAGAAGTTCCTGAATTCTGTTCCTGATTTCAGAAACAACTGTTCCTCCAAAGTATTTATTCACATGCATTACGTACTGGACCTTGCTACAGATCTGATTGATTCCGAGGGAACTGCTGGATCATGACAATTACAAGATGACATTCTTGTTCTGTAGCATGCTTCATTAGTTCCTGTTTGTAAAAACTGTAGTGGCTTTTTTCTTGCAGGCCTGTTTGCAGTGTGGAAACACCTGTGATACTGCACTTATAACACTGCTTTTCAGTTTTAGTTTTGCAATTAATGTTTAGATGTTCATCCACGCTGAGTGAAGGGCTATGTTCCACATTGTAGAAAACTATAATTGCATCTGAACCACAGTATCAGTATACTTATGTTTCTGATCATATTTTTTTTTATTAGACTCTTACATAATGCATTAATCTGAACCTGTGATTTCTCACAAAGGCTTCACCTTCTGTCAGCGTGTGACAACTAAAGAATATGAAGATCAAACCCAACAAACAAATCAGTATCTTCTCGCATTGGTTCAAGAGATGGACGGTGACCCTACTATTCCTTTGAAGCAGAAGAAGAAATTAGTTAAAGAATTCAAGAAATACCATTCTCTTGCCTGTTGTGGTTGTAAAACTAAATGTGAATTTTGTGCTCCAAATGGCTAGATATCAACACAGCCTTTTTGTTTTTTTTTTTTTGTTTGTTTGTTTGCTTTCATTTTAAAGGGGAGGATGCATATGAAAACGGTACAAATTGTTGTCTTATGTCATTGTGTCTTAAGTTACAGAAAACTGCAACTATTGAAATCACTGTGCTGCTAAAAAGCATTAATTCTAATGATTCTTATTAAGCAAAATGTTCTTAATTATTTTAAAGTATGTAATAATGGCACACTGCTTGTGCTGCTATGAGTTCAGACTTTGGTGCTTTTTTCCATGTGTCCTTAAGCCTATAGCTTTCTAGCTGAGCCAAGTCTGCATTCTGAGTCATGCTTGGGTTGATAATCAAACTTTTTATTCTTTTCAATCTGCAGCTCATAATCTATCTTAATCTAATAATAAACTGTAGATTATGACTCCTATGAGTGTTGTAAAAGCGTACAAAGTGCGCCAAAAATGTTAGGAGCTTGTGGCAGTCAAGATTCATTAGGGAGGGGAGCTGTGTGTGTTGCAGTCAGTAATTACAGCCTGTTGCTCTTTCCTCACTTTGGCAGACTGAGCTGCTGCTTATTTGGCAGTTACACAAAAGCAAATGTAAAATTACATTTTTTAAAAAACTGAGAAATAATCTTGGTTTAGATCACTTGGTGTACTTAAGCAGCTTATTTTAGTATCAGGATACTTTGATCGTGTCCAGTTATTTGTCATAAATACTTTTGATAACATTAATGGTTCATAGGGCAAAGCTAGAAAGCATGTTGGGCTGTTTACACATTGATGGTTAACTGTACATTGAAAAGGAAATGTTGATTAAAATCATTAACTATGCAATATGATGTTATGGGGTTAAATTACTTTTTCCATCCTCGTGACAGACATTTGATCACATATTGGACATAGAAACTTAGAATTGAGATTGGAAGGCACCTCTGGTCTAGTCCCACTGCCCAGCTCAAAGTGGTCAATTAGTGCAGGTTGCTCAGGGCCTTTTTCACGTATCAAGCAGTAAGGAAATGCTTCAAGTGGGCAGCAGGAGTTTACAGCTGTCAAGCGGTTTCCTTCAGGGACAAGAAGCCAAGATAGATCTAGTTCTGTAAAAGGAGGGCTCTTCAGAGCCCTGCCTTACTCACCCTGACAGCAGGATCTACTAATTTTCAGTCTTCTGTAGAAAGAAATGTGTTTTATGCTTATAAGGGCCTACTGAACCAGACTAGTTTAGTGAACTACAGATTACTGGTCTTTGTTGTTAGACTTTCAGTTACATTCCAAAATTAGGAAAACTTTACTGGACCTTAGACAGTTCTGTTGGTTATTTTTAACAATATTTGACACAGAATCATCTGGAAGGGAAACTTGGAGCTCATTTCTGTTTATGATTTCTAGCATAGAGCTATCAATTGTCAGTATGAATTTATTTTGAAGTATAAAATTTACAGAGTGAGGAGTTTAGTCTTCTACTAAACTCTACTAAACTTCTACTTCCCAGTGCACTCTTAATCAGAGAACAAGTGATGCACCTTCAAAGTGAGACTTGCTTCCATTCATAGAATATTAATCATAGAATTACAGAATCAGCTAGGTTGGAAAAGACCATTAAGATCACCAAGTCCAATCATTACCCCAGGACTGCCAAGACCACCACTCAATCGTATCACTGAGGACCTCCCTATCTCTGCCATTCAACTCAGGGAACAGAGTACCCTGAGGATGGCTGGTCTGACTATTTAAAGACTGAGGCAAAAGCTGCAGTAAGTACCTCAGCCTTTTCCTCGTCCTCAGTCACTAGGTTTCCCCTGGTATCCAGTGGAGGATGGAGATTCTCCTTGGCCCTCCTTTTATTGCAAATATATTCATAAAAGTATTTTTTATTATCTTTTATGGCAGTGGCCAGATTTAGTTTTATCTGTCCCTTCGCCTTTCTAACTTTCTCTGCATAACCTAACAACACCCTTGTACGTTTCATTGGGTAACTGTCCCTTCTTCCACAGGTGATAAATTCTTTTTTTCCCGAAGTTCCAGCAATATCTCCCTGTTCAGCCAGGCTGGTCTTCCCCACTGGTTTGATTTTTGGCACATAGGGAGTATCTGCTCCTGCACATTAAGGATTTCATTCTTGAAGAATGTCCAGCCTTCTTGGACCCCTTTGTCCTTCAGTAATGTTTCTCAAGGAATTCTCCCAAGTAGGATACTAAACAGGCCAAAGTCAGTTCTCCAGAAGTTCAAGGTGGAGCTTTTGCTGACCTTCTTCCTGATTTCTCCAAAAACTGAAAATTCAATCATTTCATGATTGCTTTTCCCAAGATGGCCTCCAAACATCACATCTTTTTCAGGATAGGCAATCTCAGAAGAGAACTTTTGAGATGTGTTTAATGTCCATTTAACTGCATATACGAGTTGGAATAACATTCATTTGGGAACAAAAAAATCCCATCCCTCCCCCCCAACAAACCCCCAAACAACTCCATTTCTTCTCACTATGTATTAATGTCGCACCAGCACAAGCATTCAGTATTTTTATTGCCCCATGCATTGAGGTTTTCTGCAATAAGAATACAGTGAAGCTATCAGTAAAAGATGAGAACACAGTGAAATGACAGTGAGCATATTACTTCATAGTATTAGGCTTGTAAAATTCTTTTTTAAACTTGGAAAATTATTTCCCCCAACCCACTTAAATACAGGAAAGCTAAAACACAATCCTAACTGACAGGAAACAGGTTGTACTTCAGAGAGTTCCATTCTGACTGAAACAATGGAATAAGAATGTATTCAACTATACTGCCTATATGTCAAATTTCTCTTCACAGATATTGTGTCCATGTTCTTCATAATCTTCTCTAGTTACTACCATGTCTTCAAAATCATCATTTTCAGAAATGAGCTTCCCACCTTCCCAGGAATAAGTAATAGGGCTGAAAAATGAACAGTTATAAATGATTAACAGTACGTACATTTCAAATAGAAGTATGCAGTGATGATTGCCAAGACTTTAATTTATCCTATTTAAGAATATACTTTTGATTGCTAAATCAAACCGTCCAGCTCCAGACAAGCTCTGAGACAAAGTCTGACATTTTAGCAGGGCTGACTGACTGTTTGTTATAAACAACAAGTGCAGGAGGCAGGTGTGAAGAGGGCAGGATATGAAGATGTTGTTTGTATTTATGTTACACAGATAATGATTCTTCATAATATTTAAAAGTACTCCAATAATACTTTTTAAAAAGTAAAGATTTCATTGTGCTTTCGATACATGTGTTTTCTCTCAACTGTGTACTTTGTCTCTGCTAAGGTGTTACCCCTTCCAAATCCCTGAAGTGACGTTAATAATGATATGACAGCATTCATATGCTGTCAAATCTTCTAAGTGAAAGACTAAACTCTTATCTTGCATACTTATGTATCCACATAATCCACAATACAGTCTTATTTACCTATTTACACTCCAAAGACTGATCCTGAAAAAATTTCTATGCTTAACTTTATTACCTAAAGTACAGGGCAAGCAGGTGGTCCCTAATTTAACTGGTTTGTCTGAAAATACACTGATTTAAACATTCTTCTTGTACAGTTCTGGTTCACTGAACATTTAAATTAACCCCTTTATCTTTGTAATCATAGAATAGATTCATAGAATATTAGGGTTGGAAAGGACCTTAATATCATCTAGTTCCAACTCCCCAGCCATGGGAAGGAATGCCTCACCCTAGACCATGTCATTCAAGGCTCTGTCCAACCTGGTCTTGAACACTGCCAGCGACAGAGCATTTACCACTTCTTTGGGGAACGTGTTCCAGTGCCTCACCACCCCCACAGTAAAGAACTTCTTCCTTATCTCTAACCTGAACTTCCCGCTTTAGTTTGAACCAGCAAAATAAATCCTATTTCATAGTTTGTTCTGCTAGAAGAACAAAGCTTGTTCCATACAGCGTAGAACTCACTTTTCAGGAAGAACAACAGACACATCATAATCAGTTGGAGTAAGACATCGAACTTCAGAATAAACCCGATCTCTGAAGCCTGGAAAAAGGGTATTTCCCCCAGTCAGGACTATGTTCTTGAAGAAATGAGGCTGCATTTCTGTAAAGGAAGTAAATCTGTAATTATGGACTGAGTATGTACTTAATGATTCAAGTTTTATTCCCCACTTAGAACAGAAGTAAAAAATATGCACAGAAGAATTTTATGATCATCTAACGATTACATCAGTTAAATACTTATATTGAGAAAGGAAAATGATAAATACCCTGTTCTTTGTGCTTTTTAGAATCTGACTTCCATAACTACTGTTTTATTAAGTTCCATGTCGGCCAACACAATTCCCTTTTCAAAGGGGATTGTAAATGATACAATTTAAGAGTACAAAATAATAGCCTCAATGCTGCCATAAGTATGTGGCATCATAGAACCTACAAAAATCTTCTTTGTAGTAATAACATTAATTACATGTACATCATCTGTAAAATGTAAGCTTTAGTATTACTCCTGACAAACAGCAGTCAGAAAGGATTTATACTTTGGTGCTTAAATTACTAAGTTTGGTCAGTTTCGTTTTTTTCATCAGTTGGATTTTTTTTTCCAAGTAAAGAAACATAACTAAAGCTAATTTCAAGTATATTCCATCACTGGTGTCAAAGACGGATAGGCCCTGTTAGAAAAGGGGGTTAAGAGGAGTTAAGTCTACAGTGATTAGTTGAAAGTAGAAATTGATCCATGACTCACCACAAAACTGTTTCCCTAACAGAGAGTCTTGTAGACAATAAGGTCTAGAGTATATGACACACACCAGAAGACAGAATAGTCTGTAACTTAGTAAGTGGTATATTGACAGTACCAGCTTCTTAAAACACTTCAGATACTTAAAGAAACCCCAAACCTAACAAAAAACACCAAACAACATACTTTTTCAAAATACTTCTAAGGTTATACCTTCAGGTAAATTCTGAATAGAATAGACAATGGCTTCCGGAATTCCCATCTCTTGAATACCAATATCTGAAGGATGGAAGAGTATTTCTGGAACTGCAAATCTTTCATTTGTTAGACGAAGTGTTTGCTCACCAGTCTTGTATTTTCCACTTAACACCATCTCTTCCCTTGGCTAAATTAAAGACATGAAATAGTAGCCACTGCTTAAGAAAAGAAGCCACACCCTAGAGTATTCAGCTAATCTTCTTCACGTACTACAGAGGTAGGCAGTATATTCTATGTAAAGTTGTATTATCAACAAATCTTGAGAATAATGCGTACTCTGGTATTAAATCTGCAGTGACTTTACTCTTATCAACTACAGTTTTGCCTGAAGCAAAATAAAATAGGTATGCACAAGACTGCAATATTGAGACTGCAATATTGGGACTGCTTTTGAAACTATGGCAAACTTGGTAAGTGAAATAAAATTGTTAAACTGTCTTCACTGGTATTAAGACTTTTCAGGGTCTTCTATAACATGACTTTCAACCTTCTACCTATTAATGTATCTACATGAAATTCAGAGAGACTTAGAAAAAAGCATCAAAGCAGAGGAAACATTTTCCAACTTAACTTTAAAAAAAACCACCCCAATAATGGTACAGATGGGTTGTATGACAGAGCACAACCATAGAAATAATTATTAAATAATAAACATAAAATGTTATATACTGAAAAAATATTTTCATCTCAACTTCCTAAGGAAATCTTTACCAATTAAGTTAGAAGTTACAATACAGCATTAGGAAAAATTAAGTCTTTTCAACCTCTCTGCTAAACTTGTACAGGGGAACAATTCAAAAAATATACTTCAAAAGCCACACTATTATTACCTTACAAAATCCTTTTTTGATTGTGCTGAAGTCTGGCAAAACATAATCTACCATTACAGTATTTTCCTCTCCTTTCAATCTGAAAGAGAAATATGTAAAATACAACAGAATAAAGAACAAGTTCTAAGTTCCAACTATTTTCTATTGACAAAACTTCCTTTGACTTAACTGTGAAAACTTC